GAAGGGATGATTTCAACTTTACCAATTGGAACTCTTGGTGCAATAGCTCCTTGTGAGCAGCAACCCTCTATTAAGGAAATCATGATAGGAAACGCAAGCCCTGGATTATAGTAGATAGATCTAAGTTCAATCAGTCTTCAACATCCCTATGGCATCTATGTTGTCTGTTTGATGAAAATATTACTCATTTCCTTCTTGACTGTCCACTTTTAGCAAAAACTTGTACAACGTATTTCGAATCAATGAAAGCCCGAATAATACACAGTTGCCAAAACCCGAAAAGAAGTTTTCAATAGCAAACTGAACATTATCAGGCATATCATATACTGTAGACGCTTACTCATCTTTTTACGGAAAGCAATGTGTTGAATACAATCGAAGCATTTACTAGGTAATTTTGTTACAGGCTTCACATCAAACGATTGAAAATGCTTGAGGTAATTGGTGCTTGACATTATGAAGTAAACATTTTCAGACCAACATATATACGTGAAAAGTCAATAGACCACTTTCGAGTTCATCCTTCACCGGAAAAAACTCGTCAATTATGCGCGCCTTTGTGACGTCATTTACCAGCTAGAGGGGATTGCCTGTATCCTTGCACTATTAACGTTCATCAAGCGTCTTAGTGATCGTCATTGTGAAAAATTAACTAGAAATAACGTTTGTTTTGTAAGTACTTAATTACAATTCCCTAATGACAGCAGCGCTGATTGTCAATTATGAGAATTTAATTTGCCGAATAATTCGTGCAATATAGCATTATAGTTTTCCAACCACTCGCTCAACATTGGAACGGAAGTGACGATGCCCCTAAACGCACGAATGATGTTCACTAAAACCAGAGTTTTTGACGGAAATGCTTCGAACTCGAAAGTTGTCTATTGAAATATAACTATCGTTTTTATGTGTATATAGAGAAGTGTATATATTAACTATGGCATGGTATTGGTTGCAAAAATTTGATCTTTTTCATTTAAATGCAATATTTTTTATTTAATTGGTATATTTCGTCATTTAAATGCAATATTTTTTATTTAATTGGTATATTTCTTCATTTAAATGCAATATTTTTTTTATTTAAATGGTATATTGTTTTCATTTAAATGCAATATTTTTTATTCAAATAGTATGATTTGTCATTCAAATGCACACGGTGATGTTCCGTGATCCCTTTATACGGTATATTCCCAACTCGTTTGATATGCCCATGTCTGTAGTGACGTTTTGAATAGATACAAACGAGACAATCAAAAATCATAAGAAGGAAAAAATAAACCCAGACACTACCATAACAAAACAAAACGATGGAAAGACAGGCAACAGTCTGATAAACACTACGCAGAAAACTAAAGACTGAGTAACACGAATGTCCAAATATACCACTGGTCACTTTTAAGAAAACCTTTCATTATCGGCGATTGTTTCTGATGGATGAAAAGGGCTCTTCTTCCCATGAATATTTCTGCCTGTTGGTAACTGAATTTTGCATAACATGTGCAACATTGTTGGTTCCACTAGTGGAACAGGATATTCCTAACCTTCCAGAGAACCTTAGTTCACGCCTAGATTTTGTTTGAGGGGATACGTTTTAGTTTTTCGTTAGTTTTCTGTATCATCTTTTGTGGTATTCAATGTCGTTGTCATAAAGAAAATGGTTTTATTTCAAATTGTTAACATATAGAGTAGGATACTTAACATGTTCCGATGTTTTATTTTGGTTATGTCTTATGTATAGATATAGCGAGGAAGATTTACCAATCTGCAAGTTTATGCTTCATTATGACGGGTTATGACTCTACAACGGATTTAAACTGAAGTTACACCATTGGTGTCACTAATTGACTTGGGAAAATCCCAAAACCGTACGTATCCTTCCAGAGCTTATGCTTCGCCAGTTTTAGTTAAGTTCGTGTTGCTCAGTTATGTAAGTAGTGGTCTGTTGTTTTTCTTTTCGTTTCTTTTGTATGTCGTGTCATTTTGTGTCTGTCTTTATTTGTCTTTTTTTTCTTCTATTATAAGTCTGTTTTGATTAGAATAACAAACTTTGTATTTTCATTCTCCAAATATTGAGTCATGAATTTTAGATGTTGTAGTAATACGATGAATTTTTAAAAAAAAACCGTACAAGAGTTACTTATCAAGATAACATATAAAATCCAGAATCGACCAATCACAAACGTTGTTGCAAATTTGACCCTGTGCATGACGTCAAACATTTTCCCACAATGCAATTATTGCATATAAATAAATAAAAACTATTAAGCATTGCAAATTAAAGTTAAAACGACAAATATACCAATTGAATAAAAAATATTGCATTAAAATGACAAGTTATACCAATTGAATAAAAAATATTGCATTTGAATGACAAATCATACCATTTGAATAAGAAATATTGCATCCTCTTTTTTCCCTTATGTAGATGTTTTGATTGTGCCATCAGGTGACATTAACATCCTGTTTACACATGTATTTCCAGAGTTTAGTTTTAGTGATATACACACGTTTTCAAAGATGTACAAATATGAAATTATCTTTCCCGTGTACACTACCATAGAAATATATATCATAAAAAACTTTAAGAAAATATGAATATTATGAAAATTCTTCGATAAGTTGATTTTTGCTGAAAACAATAACCAAATATTAATGTTTCACGATAATTGTTTAAAACAAATCTCTAATTCAAATTTTATATTTATTATATAAATAGAGTTTTTTATTTCATAGAAAATTAAACGAGACTTCATTGCATATGATTTTTGTCATTTATTTTTTTAATTCAATGTTATAAGCAAAATCCAGGGATAAAAATAAAATCCATATTGAAATTTTAACTTGTGTACAAAATTATGTCATTGCATGCATTTAAACATCGACATAGTTATCGTTGGGTATGAGCACTGTATAACCTCATGTTATCTGATGGAGAACTTCTATCGTAAAGTTGTCGCATATTTAGACGTATATATTCATATATATACTTTTACTTGGATTTATTTTTGGTGTTCCTTACAAATGAAGATAATACAAAGAGAAGAAGAAGGTATGGAGATGAAAACAGAAAATAACCAATAAAACATACATGAAAAATGTTAATTCATAAAAACCCATTTTGAAAGCTATTATATTTTTCGGCTGTCAAAAACATTGCACAATTACTTTCTTGCTTGAAATATCCAACGGGACCAAATGCAAAACCATGCTCCTAGCTGTGTATTTCTACCATAGAAAGATATGTTGGATGCTTAAAGGTTACTGAACATCACTCCTTTGGAGATTTTTTTTTTCAGATCTAACACAATAGCTTAATAACATAGTATGAACTAGATATCATTGAGATGGGAGCCATCGCTGTGGGCCCCGCTGTGAATAATGTGTGGTAAAAAAATTTGTATCTTTATCATTGGACATGGGGTTGTCAACTGAAACCAAAGTGTTTGACCTTGACCTTTGACCTAGGAAGTTGTACATAAATTATGACACACCCTCTGGTGTTGGTTTATATACATATCAAGTATAAACTTTGAAATCATAACGGTTCTCAAGATATAGAGTGGACACGATCTTTACCATAGGACATGGGGTTGTCAACTAAACCCAAAGTTTTTGACCTTGACCTTTGACCTAGGAAGTTGTACATACATTATGACACACCCTCTGGTGTTGGTTAATATACATGTCAAGTATAAACTTTGAAATCATAACGGTTCTCTAGATAAAGAGCGGACACAATTTGTTACGGACGGACGGACGGACAGACGGACAGACGGACAGACGGACGGACAGACTCATCAATATAGGGCGTTCGCCATTCGGCGGGGCCCTGATAATACCTCCACACAATGTAGATATAAAATATGCCTCTCTTATCTTTCGAGAAAATATGTCTTTGTATATTTGTCTTTAATTTTTTTTAATAGAAAAACAAAGGATATGGGGTATCCCTCCATGATACAAAATCAGTACATGCAAAACAAACAAAAAAACAAACACAAAAAAAACCAAAAAAAAAAAAAAAACACACACACAAAAAGCAAAGGAACATCGCTTTGATTGTTGTTTATTTGTTTATATTTGTATTTGTATTTTGTGAATGTCAGATGGTATCATTCCTGTATTGAAATTTACACAAATAAAATTATTTGATTTGATTTACACATCGCGACAAACAAATCTAGCAGATCAAAGAAAGAATCTTTTGTAATCACTTTGAAGTATCATTTATTTAAAACAATGTTACCGGTTAAAGGTGTTAGACCACCAATTCATCCAATCCAATTTGGAACGTATGTAAAAGTAGCCCTTCCCTGACAAAAAATAGGGCTTTTGGTGTCATTGTTTACTTACACTAACCAACAAATTTGCAGAAATGAAACTTTTGTTGAAAGAGAAATATATGTAGACCATTTTGAGCCAAAATTTACTTGTCCATGAGTTTTCATCAAAAATTAAGGATTGATGTGCTCCATAGTATAATTATTTAAAATTTCCAGAAAACCAGGGCCTATTTTTAGAAGTACTTGTCTTCCGAACGGTAGTATTTCGCAACAAGACTTTAAACATTGGTTGAAAATTGGCATGTAGAAAGGTGATACATGTACAATTCAGGATATATCTGCATGGTTTTTATGAAGTTAAAAATAAGGTAAAATATTTAGAAAGCTGTGACAATTGCAAAATTTGGTTGAATAGATAGGGATTTTGAATTTATTTAGTGGTCTGACACTAAACATCATTTTTATTCTCGAATTTTACATTTCAAATTTTGTAAACCTTATCAAATTTGGTTCAATTTCAAAAAAAATCTTTTCGAATATCATTATCGTCATTATCTTATTTAAATTAATTTAATCATCTTGGTTCACGAAAGGCCGAGTCTGTTTTTGGTTCGAGTTTGCCATGGGTCGAATTATCGGGGAGTTATTGTACACATTTTTTTAAATGGCTATGTTGGTTTTTAGTCATATTTCTTAGTTAGAATTATTTCCCTTAGTCATAAGGAAGAAAACACACACAAAATTTCACCTGTCAAAAACAAGTCATAATATTTAAAGATGTTGGTTTTTGCAATATGCATATATGTGATGTTTCCATTGCTACAAAGTGAAAAGGTACAATGCTGTCGGCTAATCAATATCATTCTGGTCCACTCCATCATCATTATAACTGATTGTCCAATATTTACATGTTAGACATTAATTTTTTCTGACAGGATAAACACTTTATCTTTTTAATGTGTTTAAAAACTTAGACCCCACATGCAGAAGAAGATTTATAATGCATATATATTTTTTTTTTAAATCCGTTGCTCCATTACACAGATATCCTATTGTGCTCCAGATAGTGGAGGAATATACTGAAAGAAAATAAATGTGACTTGTTTTTATAAATCATGTGTGGGTTTGTGGTCTAGTGGTTAAGACCTAAGTCTATAGTGCTGAAGGTCCCGGGTTCGATTGTGATCTGTAAATAGTAATCCCAGCTTCTGATCCTATCATTCAAAACAATAACTGACAACTGGATTACTACAGATAATCATCTGGATCGCTTGATCTTCGAAATAACTCATCAAATACTTATAATTTCACTCGCCGGATAATTATCCTGAAGGGGTCAATTTTATTAGATGATTACTCATTAACAACAGAATTTCACTTACTAGATAACTTATCCTGAACATCTAATTCTATAGACCAGAGAATAGTGGATAAATTATCTGGCAACAGAAAAATTATCCGGTAACAAATAATATTGTATCCAGAGTGGACAGATACAGTATGATAGTCTCAGGATGATAATCAGGCATCAAATGATGTGTTTATGAAAAACTGTGAAATGGTTATTTTCAAAGTTGAGCAGAAAGTTGATTTTTTTATTTTTTTGCCAGGATTGTTGAAGTCCAAAACCATCTTATCTTGAGCTTCAAACCCAGATCCTTAAAACTTGGCAGAAACATTGTACACATTATGAAGTTGTGCACCTGCTATTATGAAATTTTGTGTAATCAATCAACTCCAAAAGTTTTTCATCCCAATGTTTGTCTAACAAATATTTTTGTCACACTTTTCTCAGGAACTACAAAAGATAATGACTCCATATATTGTCAGCAGCTATATAATAGCAATGATGAGCTGTAATGTGTCAGCACAAAAGTCAATAGACTACAACTCATAAAGTCACAAACATACTGATGAATTAGAATGTCCTGTTTTTTACTATTCTTATACATGTATGTGTACTTTTTATTTCAGATTGAATTATGTGAGAAGAATTGTTTCAATCCGATGTCATTTAACTGCTCTATGCTCAGCGCTGAAAAATTGGGAAGATGTTGTATCAAAGGGAAAACAGAATCCTCAGTTGTTGGGTAAATATTCTAAGACCAGGAAGAAAAAAATATACTGTCAGAGAAGCTTCATATTCTCTAATTACATTTGTCAATAAAAGGAGATGTGGGATATATGTTAATGAGGCAGACACCAAATGGCACATAAAGGTGTCACATTGTTGATATATACATCAGAGAAATATGTCAGTTTGAAGGGTTATTGGTATATGGTTACAACTTTGAATTACTTTGTCTTGAATGATGGTTTTGGCATAGACATTGTTATATCAAGAAAGTTTATTAAACTTCCAATGTTCAGTTCTAGAAATTACTCAATATGTATTACTCATATTTTTAAACTAAGAAAAAAGATATAGAACATAAAACAAAAGAAGTTGTCATCTTTATTACTGATGGACAGGTGACATACATTTAGCACTTTCTTCAACACTTCTTTGAAAATAATTAAAAACAGATATAGAAGGATTTATGAATGTGCTAAATCTTTGTACCATGCAATGAATTTTCTGTATTTCAGCTTAGATTTGTCCAGCTGTCATATCACTTCTATTGAAGACATGTTTTACAGCTTCCATAATTTAAAGATTTTGTAAGTATAATAGTCTGCTTTATAGCATTTTATATTTTCTCATTTTCTACTTGACAGAATAACTTCATATATGGTCAACAGTTTGACAGTGATGAGTTGTAACATGTGAGCACTTTTCAAATCCCTACGGACACCATGCACATACCTATTTGTGGACACTTTAGTTCAAGTATCTCGAGTAAATCACCCCCAGTTTTTGGTGGGGTTCGTGTTGCTCAGTCTTTAGTTTTCTATGTTGTGTTTTGTGTACTGTTGTTTGTCAATTTCTTTCCTCATTCCTCAAAGCTTTTTTTTTTTTTTTAACTTAAGGGAACTTGGGGATAAACCAATAAGTTAAATGTCCTTTAACATGCACTTGTAAAATGCAAATGGTATCAACAATAATGAATAAAAATCATTGGCTAGGGCAGATTGTATGTTACCGGGTAATACTCAAGAATTAAATAAATATTTTCATAAAAAAACAGCCTTTTTATAATTTTTACTTAGATACATTTGTTATTGAAGTCACAAAGTAGGATTTTTCTTCAAATTTGAACTGTAAAATTTGATAAGTCAAAAGAGGACTTCCTGAATAGAATATATATTTTTCTTTATTTCAGATATTTACAAAATAATTCCATACAAGTGCCAACTATAGAAGCATTCCATGGCTTAACACAGTTACAAATTTTGTGAGTTTGTATTCTGTTAGTTTATATTTTAAATAAGATGTGGTATTATGAATTAATGACAGAACTATACATTAAAAGAAGGTACAAACAGTTCATGTATCTAAAAATGTAAGAAAATATGTTATAGATAGAATCCGTATGAACTAAAAAAAAAGAAAAAAAGAGAAAAACATCAAATTAATAGTCTTAAGGTTAAGACCTATTTTGATTAGTGCATACTTGGTTTTGATCTTTAAAAACTATACAAGAACTTTAACCATATGTATGTAATTTGAAATAAAATGTTTTGTTATGATTTGAAGTTTTGCATTTTTATTTGACAGGAAATTACCTCCTAAGATAGATTGTCCAGGAGGAAGTGAGTTATGGAATGATACACAACATACAGAAGATGCTGTTATTTGTACAGGTGAACTAAGTTCATGTACTGTTTATAATGGTAAGTGAAACAATTTAATACAATTTATCAAATCAAGTACTGTACCATATTATAAATAAATCCGTAAATATAAATTTAGGAGATGTTCAGCGAATATTGAAAAGTGAAACAAAATGAATATTTAGGTAAAATTCTGAAAGAAAAAGTAATATTGAGAAACAGCGCTCTCCCAATGAGGTTCTTAATAATGAGATGCATGAAACTGTTACATCTGACGATGGAATCGGGAAGAAATCATGTTAAGATTAAGAGATTAATAATAAGGCTATAATTTGAAGCTTTTTAAAAATAGTCAAGATCTAAGTCTTACACTAGAAACTGTGATAATTCTTATGCCCAACACATGATTTTTTTCTGGTCCGTGTATCAATCTGTCTGCTGTCTGTCATATACCAGGTTAAAGTTCGGGATTAAAGTACTAGTACTACTTTATTTTGAAGTTGTGGTCACATGATTTATGCCAAATTAAGGGAGTAACGGAGTGCATAGTTTCTTAACTGATACATTTCCTTATGGTGATCTTTTTGAAATTTAGTTTTCACAACTCTGATTTAAATGCAACAACAGAAGACCATTATGGATTATAACTATTATGTATGACATGCTTTCACACAACACATGTTTCTGGAATGAACTTCATCACTTGTGACCAAATATTTGGAAGCCAAAACTATAATTATTGGTTTGAACACAAAAACCAATAGGGCCTGAAAAGAATAGCCTGAACTGAACTGTCTTATTTCAACTTTGCCTTAGGAAGTTTCAAAACCTGCATTTAGTTTTGCCTTCTGATTTGGTGAAACCTTCAATCACTGTCAGCATAACTAGGCTGAAAAAGTTTTAACTGTCACAAAATATGGTAGTTATGTAATTTTAATTTCTATAGGTTTTACTTATGTAATTCTTACTCTCACTGTCAGTCTCTGTTTTAGAGAATTTAATTTTATTACAATTAATAAAAATCTTGGTATTTTTTTATGGAAATTACAGGTAATTTTCTTTTTATTTCAGTTTCCTGTCCTAATGTTAACAGTTATTGTGTTGATGTTGGACCACAAGTAACTGAATGTTTATGTAAACCTGGTTACCATGGTTACAAATGTTTACGTCAGGTATGATATTTTTGTCTTGCATGACAATACTAGTACTTAAAGATTTCCATTAGTATATGTTATATATACTCTAGTTTTGCCTAAAAAATTCTAGGCTTATTTATTTTGATTTGTTGTCATGAAACAATGTTTGTCTGGGACAAGAGTTTAAATTTGTGGATTGTCTTATATAAGCTTGAACTTTTATATTTTGATAAAGTTATGGGATGACACAATGTGCTGTAATTTAAGATTGACAGTCAAATACTTGATTTTCTGTTCCACTGATTTCTGATTATAAATATGATATGTAGGATGATTATCAATTGAAATTAGGACTAAAAAAAGGAGGGAACAGCACCTGTTTGTGATACAATGACCTTCTTTTGAGGCAATAGATGGATTAAAATGGCAAGCTATTATAAAGTGTATGATTTTTTTTATCCATTCTAGATATTTTTTTGGTTGCAAATGTATCCATACAAGATTATATGATGTTACCTTCATATGAAATGTTTCACTTTCATATTTTATGCATTTGTTAAAATAATATTGATAAAACAATATTTACAGCATGTTATGTTTTTCAGGGTACATTTCCAACATTAACTTTTGTGGTAGGACTTGGAGTTAGTACAGTTGTTATATCAGGACTTTTGTGGGTTACACAAAGGAGAAAGGCTAAAAAACAAGTGTAGAATTTATATATTGTCTTGAAATGTCTAAGATTCTCCACAAAAGATGATAGTTTTCCTTTGTGAAATCCTACTACTATATATTTAAGGTTACTTATCAGTGGATATGTTCTACTAAGTTATATGAACCAAGAGACAACCTAGTGTTAAATATGACCTGCTGAATAGTAAACCTATTTATATCAATAAATTATGTAACTGCAGTTACTTACCAGCTAACATTAAAAATATTTATTTACTTTAATTATTCAATGTTTAAAAGCTCACTGTGATTAATGTTCATGTAGATAATAGTGTCCTGACATAAATAAGTGTCCTTACTTTTCTCACAGATGTGTAGGAATTTTGCATACAAAATATATCTGATGCCAACAATTTGACATTATTTCTTAGTTTCTTAAACAAATAATGACAGAAAGAAGGGAATCTTCATTACATAAACTTACTCTAATAAGGTTGATATAACTGGTTGAAGCAGTTCATGTTTTCTATTGTTTTGAGCTATACTATAATTTAAGTACAAAAAATAGCTAGATACCCTTTAATGCTGAGTATAACAACCTCATTTTATCACTTGGTCAGCTAAAAATCTAAGAAATGTTAAGATAACATTAAGCAGTGAAACTTTGAACTGAAAACTTTATGATTTGTTGTTGCTTGAATTTACTGATAATAATTTATATTACTTCATACTACAACACTGAGAAATTCTTATTTACTAATTAGATATTATATTGTTTCAAATGTTTTCTGTGAATAATAGAATTTGTAAGAATACATGTGCCATTATGTGATACAGTGATATATGTGTATTGTTAGCACCAGATTGAGATTTAATTCTTTTCTTAGAATGATCATGTATTATCATGTCCTGTCAGATGATTTTATGTTAGATCAGTAAAATCAAATACAATAAACACAAGCTCTGATGAATTTTTAAAATAGTGGATCTTCGTAAAAATAGTATCATTTAAATTGATGATATGTTGTACTGAAATATTCATGACTTAAAAGTATTTTTTCCATGAAGAGTTTTTTTTTTTAAACTTGCTGATAATTTACGTAAGAAATAAGTATGACAAAAGAATATGTAGTACACATGAATCATATGAAATACATATACACATAAAACATGCGTTGCTATGTAATTTTTATAACATAATAAGCAGTACACTATAGTAGTCTTTCTTACTGTTTAAACTTCAGCATTAATGTTACCAAAAAGGCATTCATCTTGTAATCATGAAAATAGAAGTAAGTAAAATCTATACAGCCGATAAGTATTTATGATAAATCTATTTGGATTTTATGATGCTATTGAGACTCATCATTGAATGTTTCATGATATAAGAAATATATTAAATAGGGGAAGTAAGTTTCATCTTCAATATAATGTAAATTTTATAGACCTAGGTGTTTTTTTTGCCTCCACAAGGACAGATTATGTGATACATGTACAGTTTTACAACAAAACATTAAAATAAGAGTAATTTTTTATTAGAACAGACTTTAGATTATGCTATATATTCAAAGGTTAATATTGAAAAAGACTGGTGAAAAATTAATAATAGTTTCATGGATTTTCTATCTATAACCATTGACATAACTAGGTATGGGTCACCGTTTTGCTCATTGTTGAAGGCCTTACTGTGACCTATAGTTGTTACCTTCTATGTCAGTTGGTCTCTGTTTGAGAGTTGTCTCATTGGCAATCATACCACATCTTCTTATTTTTATAAGTATGTTAAAAGAGGAGCATCGGAATTTCTCATCAGGAAATATGTTTTCAAATTTACTTTTAAAAAAAAATATATATCTCTTAACCGTTTTAACAGACAAATGAGATGCATAAATATTTGTTCTTTCATTTTTATGATTCCCTAATTTGAATTATTCTTTAGTTACAAGTATGTTCAATTGTGTGTATCCCCACTCACAGTGGAATACTTACTTTATTTGCATATTACTCATTACTCAGATTGTGTATTGAAGAATGAGTTAAAATTTGGCTTGGAACTGTATATTGTTGTGTTTTACAGAGTTAGACATTTTCAGTACTACCAGGCAGTTACATCCAATTAAGTGATACTTTTGAGTTTTTATTTTACCCTCTGAACCTGAAACTTTTTGCCAATTTACCTGCAATTTCTTCTTTACATGTACAAATTCTTTATGAAGCATTTGGTCTAGAAAGGAGGATGGGAAGTTTTAGATTTTAACCATATGATTTATAATTTTAAGGTTTTGGACAACTTTGTCTGCTAATACTACAGAGCTTTCATTAATATACAAAAAGTTTAAAAAAAAATAATCAGCATATAAAGGTGTGATTTAAATGTAGCAAACATAAGTTGCATTTTTCCGTGGACAAATGTCTTATAATATTGTTAGTTTGTTATATGTAATATTTTCTTAAAATACTCATTTTACATAAATCAGGATAATTTGTTAATAAATGAATTACTTTCTTTGGATTGATTATTGTTTATTAGTTTGGTCTAATGAGCTATATTTGAGCTTCACAATAGAAAACATTTGATGTCTCAGACGAAAAGTGAATGCTGTTCAAGGTAATTTGGACAATTTTGAGGTCCGTCATTTTAAAATTGTGGAATAAGAAATTGGTGTTTATTACGACCATCATGGAACCATGCATTATTATCATCACTTATTATTAACTTAAACCAATTATGTCTGTTTGGGTTGCCTACCCAATTTTGTCAATATGTAGGACTCAAATCTATGGCGGGTTCCAAATCTATGGCGGATTCCTAATCTATGGTAAATATGACGTAATGCCATCTCAAATCTATGGCAGTTTTTATTTTCTCCAAATCTATGGCAGATTTTGAAATTGCCTATTTTTCCAGGAAAAAGAGTTACGTATAGCGTCACAATCAAATAACGCCATATGACGTCGTCGCCGCCGCCGAATTTGAAGATGGCGGAAACCATGAACACCATTCCAGAACTGAAATAAGCAAAGTTGTACTCAGTTACATTTATTTATATGGAGCTCCATGTATTCTACAGTCTGACAATGGAAAAGAATTCCGGAACTCGCATCTTAAAGAAGTTGTAATACAATTTGACACCGTCCAAATGCATGGTAGACCATAAGTCAGGGCAGAGTGGAACGTTTTAATCGCACACTGACTGAGTATTTTAGAATTAAAATGTCAGAACGTTCAGACTCACTGGTCGGATCAACTTCCTGAATTTTATTACGCATATAACAACAGGCTAAACAGGGTCACACGTCCAAAGGCTCCATATCAGCTATTTTTTAGTCGACCAAATTTTGCTGTGCCGCTTGATGATCAGGTATTTACTTTACTTCGTTAATTTTATTTAAATTATTATTTCGGAAATTAAAAATTGAGTCTTTGTGTTATAAAAAAATCTTAGTAATTAGTCATTTATAGTAGTATTCTTACTTTATGTTACTGCTATTCTGTGTCAATAAGTCGTCTAGGACTGTAGGATGTGTCAATAAGCTGGCTACGGCCGTAGGCTGTGTCAATTAGCCGTCTAGATCCGTAGGCTATGTCAATGTGCCGTCTAGGGCCGTAGGCTGTTAATGTGCTGTTTAGGGCTGTTGGCTGTGTCAATGTGCATTCAAGTACCATAGAATGTGTCATGTGCACTATAGCGCCTTAGTTTGCAAATGTACTATTTTTAGCCGTAGGCTGTGTCAATGTTATGTCTCTTACCGTGACAATGTGCCGTCTAGTGACTTAAGTTGTAAGAATATGCAGTCTAGTCTGTGTAAATAAACTATCCTGAGACGCGTCTTCAGAAAAATTTGATTAGGGTTATTATTCATATCAGTATTTGTTTTTTTAACTTGGGTTGAGGTAGATTTTTACATAATAGATTTCTTTATAAATTATAACTTGTCGATTATCAGGAAATAAAGACAAACCAATAAAACAACGGTTTTTTCACACCAAAGAAATTGAAAATTATTTTTTATTATAGAAAGAGCATCTTCTTTTCAACATACCTTTGTATTTATAGGTACCTTATGCTTCTCTTACTAAAGAAGAACGAGACTTTTTAGAGCACGCCTAATTAGATGTTGATGAAAATGAGTCAGAGGAAGAACTCCCAGAAGTATCTGTTGATGTGCTACACTCATCCTTAACTGAGGCTTCAGGTGGAAACCAATTCGCCAGTACAAATCATAATGAAGAGGAACTCACTTTACATGGTAAGTTTTAAACACATATGCATGAACCTTTTTACTTAAAACTATCGTCTTGAACATGCATGAAATATTTGCCACTGGACGTTAAGCAACCAACAAACAATCAATCATTACTTAAAACTAATAAAAGTAGACAAATTTAAATTACAAATTTAATTCTAGAAATGAATACAATTACTTGTTTTACATGTGATAAAAATAAATGCAAATTTAACATATGCTTAGCTATATTTAACTGTAAATTAATTAATTAGTTTTTGTTTTTATTTTGCAGAGGCGATGAACATTCTAGACGATGGCGTAAATGAAGAACATGGCAATTTACCTCCAGATTGTACACAGGAAAATGATTTTGTAGTGCCCGAACCATCATTTTCACAAACTGTTATTTTGCAAGTTAGTATGTTAAGCCTTGTGCATTACTTTGTTTATAATTTTCAACACACGCCAAAAAAAAAAAAAGAAAGAGAACCAACACATTAGATCTTAAGAGTACGTACTTGTTCCTAACCAATACATAAATATCTTTTTTTAAAATAGAAAAACCTATTGTTGTATGAGTTTCCGTATAACCTACAGATTAGACGAATATTTTTACATGTGTATTAATGCATTATTTGTTCAGTGAAATATAAAGTGATAAATTGTGCACAAAATAACACGAAATATTCTGTTTATTTTTTTTTAGGAAAATGTTAGTCCATACTACAAAAAATGTATCAGAGAAAGTTTTATAATGAGCAAAATAAAGAAAATGTACCAGTTCATCCACAGGTATGTGATTTTGTTGGGATTTGTCTTTAAATGTCCTATATTTTAAACTTTGTGCCTTAGTAGTTTGTTGCTCGTTATGTAAGCGTAATATGTAATAATTTTGTTTACATACTGTTGTATAGAATAGGTTTGTAACTGTATGATGTACTTTTTAAAGTATTGTCCTATATAACATAAAATTTGATGCATTTGATAGAAATCTTTAAAAGTGTTGCGACTGCACGTATACATGTACATGTATAAGACTTTTAATAATGCTGAACCATTCAAATGCAAAATGTAAAAGTTGAATTTTAGTTTGTTTTGTACGGTTATTACTAGTATATCAACTTTATTTTAAAACTGCTACACTTTGCATAGATTTTTTTAACCTAAAAATAAGTAAACCGCGTTGGTTTTCCCGTTTGATGGTTTTACACTAGTCATTTTTGGGGCCCTTTATAGCTTGCTGTTCTGTGTGAAAAACCGTACTGTAACCTATAATAGTTTAATTTTACAAATAGTGACTTGGATGGAGAGTTGCCTCATTGGCACTCATACCACATCTTCGTATATCTATCTAGATGTACTATTATTCATTTAGATTTGATGTCACTCAGCCAACATATACTTTTTGTTTATACTTATAGACTATTTTTTTTTTTTGTAGAATGTAAATCAAAAACAGTTACCGGTAATTAACACTGGACTCACTGATTTTTATAAACGAATTCACCGGGAAACACTTTCAGCTTTTCCACTAGAGCAGTTTTCCGATGGTTTGAGGGAAGACATTACCTACTATCCGGAAGAGGGACAAAATGTGATGTACATGCCGAATCCTGCGATGAATAAAGGCACCACAGTTTTCAGTACAGGATATTTCAGGAAAGGGATCAAAGACTCAATTTCAGCGTCTACTACTGGAAAAGTGTATAAAGTGACAGATCAAATTACAGGATACAAATTTGATTTAAATCGTCATCAAATTAAAAAGATGTGATCAGGAGAAAATAAATAGCATGTGAAGAGTCAAAGTGTTTATTGTTTTACAAACAGAAACTGCTTTCTTGTTGTTCAATGACTTACTATTTGGGTTAATGTATCGGTTAAACATGTACCATGCACGGAGTAGAAAATGCTTATGTTTACGGGACACATCATTTCAAGATCATGAAGTCTTTATTAAGCTTTTTAAATTGATCATTTATAAATTTGGTTACTGTCATGATGTGGTTTATAATTTATACCATATAAAAAAGAAGATGTGGTATGTCATGTATGATTGCTATGAGACAAATCACCACAAGAGACCAACTATAGGTCACCGTTCAGCCTTCAAGAAAGAGCAATGCCCATACTGCATAGTCAGCTATAACATGTTTATTTCACTAGTGTTTATACACACTCTAACGTTGTCATTTATCTCCATTTGTTTAAGACAAGTCATTGGTCGTATATAAGTACTGCATTGTTTTCCATTTGCACGACATTTGCCATAGATTTTAAATCAACAAAAATCCGCCATAGATTTGGAAATTTCAAAATTTGCCATAGATTTGAGTTGTAAAAAATCTGCCATAGATTTGGGATGGCATGACGTCATGATTAGAAAATTAAAAAAAACTTGCCATAGATTAGGAGTGTAAAATTTTTGCCATAGATTTGGGATGGCATGACGGCTTATTTACCATAGATTAGGAATCTGCCATACATTTGGAACCCACCATAGATTTGAGTCCTACATATATATACTTTTAAAATAGTATCATAACATATTTTAAAAACAGTGCTTAGAAAAAAGCCTGGGATATCCCATAAAATCTTACATAGTATAGTTTATTTCCAAAGGGGTCCCTTGTTTGAAAATATATAAAAATAATATTTCAATTTATCGTTAAAATTTGACTTTCACCAATAAAAAAAAGAAAGATCAAATGTTTCTTAAAAACATATAGAAAGTCTCCAGTTTCTATATTTCTTGCTGTTATCTTTAATTGTTCTTTAACTGCAGTCTTAAAAGCAGATCTATTTGATATATTTTTCATGTTGGATGGTAGATTGTTTCAGTCTTGTATAGCATTATAGACAAAGCTGTTTTTATTACAGTTTTTGTCTCGCCTTGACGGAGTCAAAAAGTGAGACATAGGTATGCTGTTTCCAGCGTCGGCGGCAGGGTCAACAATGTATTAGTTTGTGATTAAGTCTAGTTTATGGTGAACAACAAGTGGTAGGTCAATGATATTTGGTATGCAGTTGTATTAGCATTAGTACATCACATTTCCATGGATATTATTTGTTCCTGCACCCTCAGTCATGGTCTATTGACTTTCAAAATTTTTGCTTAGTTTTATGTATAAGTTTGTGATTAGGTCATTTTATGGGGAACCACTAGTGGTAGGTCAATGATATTTGGTATGCAGTTGTATAAGCATTGGCTTATCTCATTTCCATGGAGATTATTTGGCCCCGTCCCCTTAGTCATGGTCTATTGACTTTGAAACTTTTGCTTAGTTTACATGTATTAGTTTGTGATTAGGTCAGTTCAAGGGGAACCATTAGTGGTAGGCCAATGTCAATTGGTATTCACTTGTACAAGCATTAGCACATCTCATTTCCATGTAAAATATTTGGCCCCGTCCCCTCAGTCATGGTCTATTGACTTTGAAACTTTTGCTTAGTTTACATGTATTAGTAAGTGATTAGATAAGTTTAACATGAACTGTTAATGTTAAATCAATGATATTTGGTATGCATATTTATTGGCATTTGCAAGTATCGTTTCCATGGAGATTATATAACCCCAACCCCTCATCATGGTTTATTGACTTTGAAACTTTTACATAGTTTACAAGTTAATGTTTGTGTTGTGGTTTGTTTAAAGGGAACGACTTATAATAAGTCAATAGTATTTGGTATGCAGTTTTATTAGCATTGGTACATCTCATTTCCATGGAGATTGGTTAGCCATGTATCTTCAGTCATGGTTCATCGACTTTGAATATTTGCATAACTTACATATTAAAGTATTGCTATTTTAATTTGAACATTTGCATTATCAAAATTACAAAAAGGAGAGACATATCTCTGTGATAACAGTTTATTAATATTTGGTACAAAATAATTACTATGTGCAGCATATTATGGTATATCATGGTATTATAATTATTCAAATCAAAATTTTCACATAAATACTCTGGAGCATGTTCATGATACATTTTGAATACATGGTTTAATCTAGTAACTGCAAATAATTCTAATTCGAATGTATATAAATGGATCGAATAAAGAGACCTATGATAGGCATTGTCACAAGCTAATGCAACAGATACAAAGACGTCAGATTTGTTAATTTGTTGGGTTGGTTCAGTTTGTACAGGTCCGACTGTCATTAGCAGTGTTAGCCTACATTTGTACATAAAAAGTATGATACAGAATATCTATAAATTGATATATGTTCTAAACAAAATGTCAAAATTGTGTAGATTCATATACCACTTACTTCAAAATTCTATTATACGTCAAAATATCATACTCTTTCTTGTTTACACCACAAAAACAGCCGAAACTTCAAATATACTTAATACTTCATTTCTATTGAGATTTTAAAAGGAAAAGACACAAACGATTATGTCAATACTTTTGTATCTTTTTTCTTCTCTTTTGCAAATTGGATGTAATTTTAAACTGTAATGACTATTTTGGATAAATAATTTAATTTTCCATCAGTTGACAAAGACACTTTCTCCCCAGAAATGTGTTGTGTCTGTTATAGTCACAAATATCCAGTGTAAACCAATTACAAAGCAAACCATTCTGCTGTAAATGTGCTAACTTTTGTTTTATCATGATTTGTGCCAATTCCTGAAATAAAAAAAATATTTATTTAAACCTGTACCATTAGTAATGAGCAATATAATATTTTAAACATTTCAATAATATATAAGATTATTTTATAAACAAATGCGACAGTGTGAACTTTGCAATCATTGAGACTCGAATTTCAATGTGCACCTTTAATATTCTTATACAATCTTGTATTATTGTCGATTGATGATGTGTAGAAATTATAAGCGAAAATTTAAAAAAAAATCACACATTTCATTTATATTATTGAATTTTATCTTATATATTTGCTTTAGTGCTTCATGTTTAAAAAAAAAAAAAAGGAAAAAAAAAATTAAACAGCCTCACTTTAAGATCTTTCATTTAATTTTAGATATAAGCCAAAGCCTTACATAAAGAGATATTTTGCTACAAGATGTAATAATTATGTTTAGATACTGATTTGAGTTTGAGTTAGGCTTTCACTCATATTTAATTTTACAAAAATATACATGTAAAAAACCAATTGGGCAATCAAAAATTAAAAGTCAAATAAAAATAAATGAAACCATAGCCATGATGAAGAACGACGAAAAGAGAAACAACAATAATAAAACGTTACACAGAAAACTATGGAGTGAACGCTGGTGCTCCGGAAATGGTCAAGCACTAGTTAAGGTTAAGGTTAAATATATAAAAATCTGGAGATGTGGAATGATGGCAAATGAGAGAACTATCCACCAAAGAACAAAATGTCGTTAATGTTAGCAACTATAGGGACAATGCGACCTTAACAATGAGCAAAACCTATATCGTATAGTAAGGCCCGACATAAAATGTACAACAATTCAAAAGATAAAAACAACGGTGATATATGTCAATTTCAACATGTTTATGACCCCAATTTTAATTAACAATTTTGACAAGGTTGAAGTTTCTGCAATGTTTGAAATTCATTTATATTTTAATTAAGGATATTATGGTACTCACCTCTATTTTATCGTCCTTGTAAGTAAATCGATGCCTCTTCTCTAACAGAATGCCTACGTATTCCTATGTGAATGATAAATAGAGAGATATCTGTACAGGAAACACTTTAACTCGAACGTATCACTGCATGAAATATTTATTAACCAAACAATGCGACAAATAAAAGCAATGATTTGTAGAATATTTGATTGATATATTGATTGATTGGTGTTTAACGCCTATTTCAGCACTATTGCATAATTTCGTGGCGGTCATTTTTTATAGGTGGAGAAAGCCGGAATACCCGGAGAAAACTACCAACCATCGGTAGGAAAACTAACAATCCTGGTCAATTAAGATTGTATAATGTTTGAAGATAATATCTAAACTTTAATGAAAGATAGACAATACAGGTTAAAGTGAAATAAATTGAATAGTAAAGTTATTACTAAAAAAATCTATACAAAGGTTGATTTCCCTCGTGATAAACAACAGATGGAAGATACCAAGGAGAAATAAAAAATATCACACAGTCCAGAGACCGTTTTAAAATAAAATGTGTGTAACATTTCAGAGGAGGAATAAAAGAAAACATTGTTTTCAATTGTATATTTCACAATGACAATTGTATATTTCACAATGGCGAGAGTCCGTCTACATCATATTATTAGTTTTTTTTTCTCCACAAAAGCGGGAAACATAGATACACGTATATCTAGAGTTTGGTAGATTGATATTTCAGTACACAGTCGGTATTCAAATGGGTACTAATTGTGCACCACGACTGGCAAACTTGTTTTTTGTACTTATATAACGCAGATTTCTTATAGAACCTTTTCAAAGACAACGAGAAAAAGCATCTTGCAAAGTTCTTGAATTTTACTTTTAGATATACTGATGATGTCCCGTCAGTCAATAACCGACATTTCAGTTAGTCAGTGTTTGCATCTCAAATATCAAATGTTGTAATTAAGAAAAATAACGAAATGGTATATGTGATAAACGTGATGATTTTGACTTTCCAATTGTCGACTTCCCATTTATCATCATTAACATACTTTCTGCCCAATCGCATGGTGTATACATATATAAATTAATACGTTACGCTCGTGCATGTTCACAATATGCAGACTTTATGAATAGGTGTGACCCTAAAGCAAAAACTGCTCCAACAGAGTTATCAAGAAAATCGATTGAAATTGACACTTAATAAGGTTACGGTCACCATTACGAATTGGTTGACCAATACGATGTGTCTTTGTCTCATCTCATAAACGATATGTTTTTATGATGTCTTAAATCTTTATATTACAGTATAGTCGTCTGATCAGTAAATTTACCGATTGTGGCATAATAACGCTATGTGAATTCGCATGGCGGGTGATGCATGCATGACAAGAGACGCTTGTCCTGTCCATGCACCTAGTCCTTTTGGTTCCATGAGATTCATTTCGTATTTTGATTTGTATCTTTATAATGGGTTTAAGATATTTAAATATCGGTCAACTACTGTTGCCTCTTACTAGTATTTAAATGTGTAAACATCTTTTTCAATAAAAAAAAACTGCATTGGTTCTGATTTTTGAAAAATTTAACATGTAATTACATAGCGAGAAAAAATTCCAATTTTTTTTCTCACTATGTAATTACATATTAACTTTTTTTTATAAAAGCAGAATTGCCCCCGGTTTTTCGAGGGACTTTTGTTGCGCAGTCTTTAGTTTTCTATGTTGTGTTATATAGACTGTTGTTTGAGATCTTGCCGTTTTTCATTTTTTCCCATGTCATTGTCAGTTCGTTGTCGATTATCCCTTTGGTATCTACAGTCGAATATGTTGAAATGATCATCACTTGTTTTAGCATAACATTCAAGTGCCAAATTTACGAATCTGATGTATTGTGGAAAATGAAAAATCAAAGTGACTTTATAGACAACAATAGGGAATTCAGTCTGATTCAAACTAACTCAGAAAAAAGCGTAATATAGGCAACATTTACTAGCACAAACTAGCTATTCACCAAAACTCAGTAATTTCAGGAACTTGCATTAAAAAAAATTCAAACAAAAAGACCAAGGCTTTCTCAACAACTGCGTTCCGTATATACAAAATGTATTTAGTCGGTTTCTTTTAAACCCGCGCTTGCGCGGATAACACTCTTAGTCTTTTAGAAATAAGGAAACACAATCAATTGATTTTTGAAAGAAAACCCCATTTATTTCCTTGTTTTTTAATGTTTTTTAGAATTGTTTTCTACCAAAGCTATAATATTCACCTACCTTGCATGCAGACGTATCATATCGAACCATAGTAAGCTAAGTCTTGTCATGGAAATTTAATAACATAATGATAAGAGATATATAATGCGCATCATATAACAAATCTAATGTTAAACATGTTTATTATTATATATAGGATTTGTATGCGGTTTTAGACTAGCCACATAACATTTAAGGCAAGTTTGTTGTTGAATGACTATTTTGTTTTAACTACTTGTGGTCAAATTCAGTCATGTTCAAATCAGGGAAATCATTTAAAACACGAAAAAGAAAAGAAAAGAAAAAAGCTCGAAAAAAAACATAGTACAAGGATACACTTGGCTTACTTATATTTGTGTTGTCAAACACAATAAGACATTTATTGTCTTCGAAATAATCGCTGTTCACTTTCCATATATCTCGTCGAAGTTTTGTTACCATCTGTAAATAAAAAAAATATTTAATATTTTCCGGTTTAATTTGTATCATGGGGATAATATATTTTTGCTACTTACAAAATCTATGCATTCATAATCCCCCATTAATATTTTACCTGGAAAATGTAACCTCTAGATGTTACTGTATAGTAACTTAATTGTTTAGATTTTTTGAACTTACATGAGCAATACGACGGGTGTCAAATGTGGTACAGGATCTGCTTTCCTTTCCGCAGCACCTGAGATCATCCCGGTTTTTCTTGTGGTTCGTGTTGCTCAGTCTTTTATTTTCTATGTTGTGTTTTGTATACTGTTGTTTGTCTTTTGGTCGTTTTTCGACTTTTACCACGACATTGTCAGTTTGTTTTCGACTTATGAGATCGAATATCCCTTTGGTATCTTTCGCCTCTCTTTTGTGATGTTTTGTATTAAATGTGGAGACGTTTTGTATACATATAGATAGCAAATACCTTGCGTCTTGCGATGAAGAGTAAACCGAATGATCCTATCCATATAAGTCCTCCAAATATAAACGCAGAGAAAAACACATTTGTAAAATAGTCAGTTATAATCTTTTCAACTATAATACTTAGAAAGTACGATCCAAACACAAAGGCCGTGGCTACCATTCCCAATAATAATGCTGCACCACAGGCAAATTTCCTACCACTAAATATTCGGTAATGCCTCATTACTGGATGTGAATTTACCCGATTTAAAATAGCAGCAACATGTTCTTCGCACTGAAATATACAAAAGTGTAAATGATAAAAAAAACAAACAGAGTAAAACGACAAAATCATTTATCAAGTTTTGTGTCAACTCGTGGATGTACTGAGATATGAATAAGACCCATTAAATCATTGAAGGTATTTTCGTCATTTAGACTTTTGGTCTCGATCGTACTTGATTCTAGAAATTTCGCCAAACAGCCTGTTAATTCTGAAATTTATTTTCAATATCATCAATCTCAATTACCTGTCATCTTTTATTCACTTTTACTACATATTTTATAGAGTTTAAAACATTCATTCTTCTCAAGAGATTTCGTCGTTTGCTGCTGTCTGTCCTATTTGTATTTTGTTTTATTTGTTTTTATGATACATCAATCCGTCGATTTTCTTTTTTTTAAGTTTTTGTGTGATGTCGGAACCTTACATAGCTTACTATAAGGTATGTGTTTTGATCATTGTTGAAGGCTATAGTGTCCTATAGTTGTTAACGTCCTCCATCGTTGTTTTTATACTTCATCTCTTTAATTTGATATTGACGATTTCATTTATCCCGTTGTCAACTCTTTATTTCTCGTAGTAACATACCGTCTTTAAATTAGTATGGCAATTACATATCTCATTTGATACGTTTTGTTATACGAAGTTTATAGGGATGTTCTTGACGAATAGATTAAAGTTATTTACCGATTTGCATCACTCGTTTGCAATTCTCTATGGATGTTGTTTTAATTGTTTTAATATTGTTGAAGATGAATATCATGTTATTTTACATTGTCCTGTTTATAATGATCTTAGACAAGTTCTTTTTACTGAATCTCTTAAAATTGATGCGCATTTTAATAGTTTTACAGATTGTCAGAAAATGGTATTTTTATTTTCGAATCAAGATATTATAAGACTATGTGCCAAAACCTGTAATTTTATTCTGAAAAGACGCCGAGAAGTTTTATATTGTAAATAATAATTGAATAATTATGTTGTATAATTTTACCATTCATGTCTAATATTTATTATGTACATACATATTGTTTTACTTGATTATCGTCTCTCATAAATCTGTACAGATTGGCTTATGTATACAAAATGTATCTTTTATAAATGTATTGTGTAATTTTATGCATAAGGTGAGACGTAAATAAAATATTGAATTGAATTGAATTGTATAGTTATATATCTTGAATTATCTATTCATAATGGATTTACGAGGAATGCAAATCGGTAAATAACTGTTGCCTGTAATTACTGACCCGGATAATGAATGGCTGCTAGTTAACTGTAGGACCTCGAGAGATGTATTTATCAAAGTTGTACAAAAATCGAACATGATAACATGTTGTTTGTTTATAGTTGACTAGTGTTTGGTTAATTATAGTAAGGTCGGTTCGATTGGGATATTGAGTTCATTCACGAGTGAACTCAGGTGGTTTAAAGTCATTCGAGCCATTGCAGTCAAAGTGTACAGTAGCATTTTGCCAAATAAATAATATTATTAATGATATTATTTATTTTCAGATTTGTAGACCACTAGTATGGGGAAACCAGTACATGTACAAGCTGCTTAATACCTGTGTATTTATATGAACTTTCCACAATATTATACTCATATTTATAATAAAATGTGCGCTTGTCTCTGCAAGTGGCGTCTCCCATATAAGAGTTTGTGGTTATTTGATAAATATTTTATGTTCGTTTGAGTTTACGAATTAGAATTTAATGTCACTTTGTCTGTAAGATGTGCTGTTCTGGTGACATGATTTTAAAAAAGTATAACAAACATACAGATTCAAAGAGGGGAAGTCCACAAAAACTGACAAGATCGAACGTTATGAACCAACGAAACGACTGACTAGGTACAGGCATTTTTTTATGAAAATGGTGGATTATGCCTGGTTTTATTGATTTGATATTGATACTCGAGGAAATTTTAGCTAAGCTGAATTCTAAGGTTATTCTTCAAATGAACAGCTGTTCCTTGGCGGGTTTTTACTATAATTGCCCCTATAACCTATGCCAATAAACTAAATTTTCGAAATAATGCATTTGATGCCTCTTATTATTCACGGTATCAAATTAAACTCATTAAAGATACCTGGCTTATAATTTTGTACACCAGACGCGCGTTTCGTCGACAAAAGACTCACCAGTGACGCTCGAATAAAAAAAGTTAAAAGCCCAAATAAAGTACCAAATTGAACAATATTGAAATCCAAAAATTCCGAAAATTTGTGACAAATACAGCTAAAGTAATCTATTCCTGGTGTAGAAAATACAGGGTTAAAAGGTTGCTCCCTAAGGTTAAGCTGTTTAATTCTTTCAGGTTCCTTTGAAGTAAACACTTCTCCATTTATTTGCACATCTTTTGCATTGCATATTTTTTGCTCTGATCGTTCAGGATTTGAAATGTATTGTTTGCACAAATCATGCATTGTATACTAGAAGGCCAATAAGATTAGGCAAGTGTTTATCGTGCTCTACTTTTTACCGAAGTTTATGTTGTGCATACTGTAGATTATTTAAAGCTATTTTATTGGTTTATTCAGTGTACTACTGTGGATCTGTTTCAAATGTTTTTGACATTGTCTCGTTTTGGTATTGTTTTCTGCATGTTGAGTTTCAACGTTTTTGTCTAAGCCATTGGCTTGGATCGTTTGTCATGTGTTGCCTTTACTCTTGACTGTCATGTTATCATGTTATTTAAACTTACATTAACATCCAGTGAGGATTTCAATATTTCATTCTCTTTTTTAGTAAGCCCATCAAATTCGTACACATATCCATTCGAACAAAAAGGTGTCAATTTTACAGCTTCTATAGTTAACAATCGAGCTCCATTTTGACTTTTCACTTCTTCTACAGTGAAAGCTAGAAAGCAAAAAAATGTTCATATGAATTGCACTTGGTTTGGAATATCACAACACAAATAATTTTAAAATACTATCACTAAACTTATATTAAAAGTTATCGAACAAATCTTCATTTTTTTGTGGTTAACAGTATAAAATATCTGTACACTAAAACAATCACATTCTTATGTGCATGTCCTAGGTTAGTAGGTTCTTTTTTAACACTATATCATAGATTTATTGCATTACAGCTGTTAACAATGACCTTACTGCTACAGCTTTAACGGTAAGGTACCCGGATAATGTTAATATCTATAAGAACAGGGTTTCGTATAAATAAGTATTCTTTTCTTCAAATTCATGTGAGAATAATGCAATAAAGTACAATGTACAACGATAGTACAGTATACTAATCCGCAGATAGGTCAGGAGGCTCTTTATTGGTTTTCGTTTGTTTTATTTCAATTGTGTTGGTTGGTAACTTCTCTGTCAAAGGGGAATGTAAGATTTGGGGCCAAATTGGACCTTAAATTCAACTATATTTCAAACTATTTCGGACTTTCAGAATTAAGTGTTGAATGTATGCATCCTGTTTTAGTTTAGAATATATACCATTATCATGAGTTAAACAATCATGAAATGAGAGTAAAATCAGTAAATGATATTATTAGATAAAATCTTGACTATTTGACCTGCACATGGATAGAAATAACACAGAACACAACCGTGGATATTTAAACAGTAAGTGCATTTAATGTAAATATTCACAGGCAACTAAACAGATTGGGAAACGCTTGTGCTCTTTGCTTATGAAGGCAAAATGTCCATACAACTAGTCTTATTTTTGCTAAAAATCTGACAAATAAAGATTTGGTTTGGAAGTTTCGTTGTACCTATACAAATTTATTACCATCGGAATATGCCATCCTAATTTGTACGGTTGTGTGTTTATTCTGGTAAATCTAACGATCCTTTGAAGAAATAAGTTCTTATAGGTATCCATTTTTATGTAGTAATATATTTGAAAATTGTACATACAGTGATTTTGTATTTGATAAATTGAAATATCACTAAACATGCATTGCTATACAGTTATGAAAACTTATGGTCCTTCAACCTGTCGATACAATGTACTTATATTATGGCATTGAACAAGTTCATGATTTTCTCAGATTTTTTAAAACTTCTTACACTTAATCCATTTGATGTGTACTAATTGATATTTGAAGCTGGGAAAACATCATTTAAGTATTAGTTGTGACTGGCTTTGAACTAGCTTTCAGTAAATGCGAGTACTCTTAGATCGGTAATTTGTGTCTTTTGTCTTTTTTTTGTTTGTAAGTTGTTGTTTGCTCCTGACCGATTTTATTTGTCAACCTGATTTTAACAATTTGTTCTCATTCTGTGCTGTAACACTACTGTCCAAGGCTAGGGGAGGGTTGAGCGCTCACAAACATGTTTAACAACGCCCCATTCTGTATGTGCTTGTTCAAAGTCAAGAGTGTGTAATTTGTCGTTAGTTGCTTAGTGACATATTTGTAAGGTGGAAAAGGGGGTATTATTACAACCCTTTAATCAACTCTTGACAGCGACCCCATACTATCAAACTTGTTTTCTTGGAGCTTTAAACAGGGGAACATAGCATATAATTTCTTAAACACACCTACCTTTTTTCTCGTGATATAGTTGATCTACTGCAGCTGAAAAGGACAAATAATTGTGCTTTTGAATTTTTGTATTAAGTAAACGATTTAAAAAGCCATTCGAAAAAAAAATAGGTCAAAACATTCAAAGATAAACATACGATTCCAACTGCAGTACACACGTCACGTGTTTCTGGTAGTACCTCATCAATCATGATGCAGACTAAAAAAAACTAACATTCTTATGAATAATATTAAAAAAATAAAACATATTCATTAATGCGCATAATGCGTACCGTTTAATTTTATTATACTGATTTAATATAAAAATAAGAAGATGTGGTATGATTGCCAATGAGACAACTGTCCACAAGTGACCAAATGAAATAGAAGTTAACAACTATAGGTCAATCGAATGTTTCAGGTTCGTTCATGAACACATACAATTTGATTTAATCAAAGGTAATCATTTGTAAGGAAGAATTTCACTCGTGCATAGCTCTTTTTTCCTTGTCCTGGTTTAGCTTTCCTGTTTGGCGTTTCTGGTTTCTGTCGAAATGTGCATCTACTGCAGTAAATTTGGAACAGTTAATGTTACAAATATGAGTTTTTATTGAAAAGTTTATCTTAAAAAAAGCTGTCATCGATGTTATCAGAAAGGGAAAGGAACCTCAAATCTAACCTGAGTGGTAAAATGCGTCCATAATCTTTGCTGCAACATCTTTTTCTTGAAGAGCATCTATATAGCGATATGATTTCAGAAAGGATGGGATTTCCTTTTTGACAGGACGAAGAAGGATAGGTATGACTTTCAAGCTGTCTCCGTCTGCGTGTGCCATTTGAAATGCTTGGCGCGCTTCTGTTATACACCAGTAACTATCTAGAAAACTTGGACTTATAACAATTAATATTTTTGAGCTGTTCTTCATTTCATCATAAATGTTATCGTCTAATAACTTTCCAGGGATAAAATCTCTTTCATAATTCATGCATTTAAGAAAGAAACGTTTTTCTAATTCAATACAGAGATCCTTGACTTCGGGACTATCTTCAGATGAATGTGCAACGAATATATGATACTTTTTGTCTGGAGGAAGTTTGAAAACCGGCTGCTCAAAATAATCCATGACTGGAGGCTTTATTTCTGTTTCAGTTTCAGTTGACTGTGAATGTCCCGTAAATAGATCCTTAACGCATGTTTCATCAAACGTATCAGGGGACATATAAAAATCACCGGTAAAAGTTTGATGAATATCAGAAGATGAATTTATTGGAATATCATTATCATTAAGAGTTTGAACACATTCGGGAACCATGTCTTGGTGTAACAATGCCGTTTCCTCCAACTCTGACGTAGTGAGATGGTATTCATTGTCACCTTTAGAAAGTAAAGCCATACACTCATTTTCTGTATTCATGGTTCACTGATATTTTTTACACCATGCACCCATTGCATTTCCTGTTAGATTTTTAGATACATACCTAAAAAAATTAAGTTTTTTATGTGACATTTTGTATTAAAGAGACAAATGAAGAAAACAAAAAAAAATAATATATGTACTACACTATGAATTTTAAAAAAAATCAAAAACAGAATTCAAGGAAAAAAAATGACTAGACATAGTGTTGAAAATTAATTACGTCTTCTTTAATGTAAAGTTTTCTATTTTTACGAATTAGCACAGAACGTTACAATATTTAGACCATCAAAAAAAAAAAAAAAAAAAAAAAAAAGAATTCGAACAAAAATTGAAGCGACAGACTTTTGAATATTAATACCATCTTCTTTAATAAAAATTTCCATGTTTTTTCTTTTTCTGGAAGCTAAACATATCCAGGAAGTTTACTCGCTCTTGTCTTTAATTTTTACTTAAATTGGGGTAAATTAAAATTATAAAGTTTTTATCGGATGGAAAAGTGTAGTAATCTACTATACAAATCCTGGGGAAAAAAGATAAAATGATTCAAAATAGTCAACTTTGAATTTTGACGCGACTAAACCTTATCCGTATCTTAAATTAAAAACATCAATCATAAGACTTTTTATGTGGAATGTCAAATATATATGTAGGACTCAAACCTATGGCGGATTCCAAATCTATGGCAGATTCCAAATCTATGGCAAATATGACGTTACAAACGCCAAACAAATCAAATCTATAGTTATTTTTTATGTTTTCTCCAAATCTATGGCAGATCTTGTAATTTTCCGGGAAAAAGAGTAACATATAACGTCACAATTAAATAACGCCATATTGCGTCGTCGCCGCCGCTCAGGATTGCGGAACCCATAGATTTGAACACCATTTTATATAGATTATTTTTCTATATTTGTAGAATGTAAATCAAAGAAAGATATTTAACACGGGGCTCACATATTTTAGCAAACAAACACACAGGGAAACACTTTCCGCTTTCCCTCTAGAACAATTTGCCGATGGTGTGACCTTTTATTTTATAGGAGGGACAATATGTGCTGTACCGTCCGAATCCCGCGATGAAGAAAGGCACCGCTGTTTTAGTAGTGGATATTTTAGGAAAGGAGTTATAGTAAATATTTTAGTGTCTACGGCTGGCAAAGTATATAAAGTGAGAGATGAAATTACAGGATATACCACTTTTACTTAAATCGACATCAGTTAAAAAAGATTAATTAACGCTAAAATAAATATTATGTGAAAAGTCAAACTGTTTCATTCTTTTTATAGAAAAACTGGTTTCTTTTTGTATTAAGGGACTTCTATTTTACTAGTTGGTTTAATAAAAGGATTAAACAGGTACCATGCACAGATTAGGAAATGCGTATTTTCCGGGGCACATCATTTTAATCCTGAAGTCTTTGTTATGGTATATCACTTCTACACTACCTACTTTATGGTTGCCCTCACGAATTGATTGACAATTATGGAATGTTTATCTCACAAATGTTAATAGACATGCTCCCGTTTTCGTACATTTCCACTTGTTTAAGAAAAGTCATTGGTCGTATATGTACTGCCTTGTTCTCCATTTGCACAAAATCTGCCATAGATTTGGAAACAACAAAAATCCGCCATAGATTAGGAAATTACAAAACTTGCCATAGATTAGGATTTTAAAAAATCTGCCATAGATTTGGGATGGCATGACGTCGTATTTACCATAGATTCGGAATCTGCCATAGATCTGGAACCCACCATAGATTTGAGTCCTTCATATATATATACATGTCACAACCACAGCTCAGCATAAGGCCTCTTCTGAACATTTGAAGGTCCCCACTATGTATTGGTTACCTAAACTACACAAAAAACCTGTAAAATATCGTTTCATCTCGGCCTCTAGTAAGTGTTCTACTACTAGACTTTCAGTGCTTTTAACAAGTTCATTAACTACTATCAAAGAACTGATCATTAATTTTGTAACAAAACATATGAAAATAGTGAAATTAACCATTTTTGGAGTAAAAATATTCTCTTTGGATGTTTTAGATAAATTACGTGATGGTTCTTTTGATTCGGTTGACAGTTTTGACTTTTTCACTCGTTACACTATACTTCCACACAATCAAACAAAAGTTTTCCTATTTACTTAAATGGTCGTTCGATAATCTGACTGCAAATTTATTTGCTGCAACTCACATAAAGCCTTTTTCTCAAACGAGAAAGGTAAAAATGCTAGATATACTTACTGGAGGTGTGATGAGATGATTAAAGCCATAAATTTTCTCCTTGACGACATTTATGTACGTTTCGGCAATAAAGTTTATCGACAGATTGTAGGTATTCCTATGGGCACCAATTGTGCCCTTTAATATCAGACTTGTTCCTGTACTGTTATGAATCACAGTTTATGGCCAAACTCAGTAAAAACCCGTCTAAATTCCATTAAATTGATAAATTCAACAACACTTACTGTTATCTTGATGATATTTTTTCGTTAAATAATCAAGAATTCTCTAAATATACTGCAGAAATTTACACACAGATACTTACCTAAATAAATCAAATATTAACAGCAATAAGTGTTTTTTCCTAGATTAAGACATTTTAGTTTTACACCAGAAACTCTACACAAAAATTTACGATAAAAGGGATGATTTTTCTTTCCCTATTGTTAATTTTTGGACGGTGGTGTTCCTCTGGCACCATCTTACGGTGTTTATATATCCCAACTCGCTCGTCATGCCCTTGTCTGTAGTGACGTTTCGGATTTCAATGAGCGTAATCTATGTATTACTGGTAAATTATCAAGTCATGGATTTCGTTACCACAAATTATTAAACCTTTACTAAATTTTTCCATAGATACAAAGATTTGGTTTGCAAGTTTGGCTGTATCTGTAAAAAACTTATTTCAGACGGAATAGCACATCCTAAATTTGACGGCGATGTTGTTTACCGAGCACGGAAATTTTTATACGTAACGATCCGGGTAAACTTATCAATCCTTTAAATAAACTTATTGTTAATTATCCATTTTTAGATGGTGACGTTCCCTTGTCACTATCTTATGGTGTTTATATATCTCAACTTGTTCGATTCGCTCGTGTATGTAACAACGTATTTGGTTTTTAACGAAAGAAATCGCTGTATTACAGAAAAATTATTACACCAGGGTTTTCGATATCACAAACTTATCAAAACATTTACTAAATTTATCATCGGTACAAGGACATTATTCGTCAATATAAATCAACGTGTAGACATCTTATACGTTCAGGTATTTCACATCCAATCTTTTATGGTAATATTCTATACAAAGCACAAAAATGTCTTCATTCGCCTCAAAAGCTAACCAAACCTTATTCAGAAGGGATATAGTTACGATACTGTTATCAGGTCATTAAAGATGACATTTTTGGAATTAATATTGATTCACTCATAGGGTCTTTGCATCAGAAATAAACACAGTTATTCTAAAACCAGTTGTTGGCATGACATATATGTTATGATGGTATGATACTTAACCCCCCCAATGGAGAAAAGCTAGTTGAATTCTGTGAGATGAATGAGCTTGTAATAGGAGGCAGTTTATTTCCACACAAGAATATACACAAGGAGACATGGGAATCACCTGATGGAAGAACAAAAAATCAGATTGACCACATCATGATAAGTCAGAGATGGAGAAGCTCACTTCAAGACGTTAGAGTTATGGGAGGAGCAGATATCAGCTCAGACCACCATCTTATCATAGCCAAAGTAAAAATAAAACTTGCAAAAGGGACCAAAGCCGAACAAAAACGTATAAAGTATAATGTGGAGAAGCTCAAAGACCTACATCTCAAAGATCAATTCCAAATCGAGCTCAGAAACAGTTTTGAAGTACTTAAAGATGGGCCAGACCTGGACATAAACAATGAATGGGAAGTGGGAAGAGACATCATCAAGGAAGTGTGTGAAGATGTACTTGGAAGACAAACTAACAAAAAGAAAGATTGGATGTCACATGGAACATGGGATGAAGTAGAAGAGAGAAGGAAAATGAAGGAAAAGGTAAACAATGCAAGAACAAGGGCTCAGAAACAAGAAGCACAAAACAAACACCAGTTCCTCAACAAAGAATTGAAAAAATGCTGTAGGAAAGACAAGAGAGAATATGTAAATGACTTTGCAACTGAAGCAGAATTTGCTGCATATAAGGGTGACATCAAAACCTTGTACAATATCACCAAAACTCTTAGTAGACGTAAAACAGCTAAATCTAAACCAGTAAAGGATAAAGATGGAAAAGTCCTAACCAATCTTAACGAACAGATGGAAAGATGGAATGAATACTTTGTCAATGTTCTAAATAGACCAGAACCAGACCAACCAGTAAGAGTAGAGCCAGCTGGGGAAGATTTGAACATAAAAATAGATAATATCAAGAAATATGAAGTGAAAAAGGCCATCAAATCACTTAAAAATGGGAAATCCGCAGGCATAGATAGAATACCACCTGAAGCTTTCAAATCTGGAGGCAATGAAATAATAGAATATATGTACAAACTCCTGAATAAAATCTGGCAGGAAGAAAAGATACCAACGGAATGGTTAAAGGGTTTGTTAGTGAAGCTGCCAAAGAAAGGAGATTTAGGGCTATGTGAGAATTGGAGAGGCATAACACTTCTATCAGTAGCTAGTAAAATACTGTGCAAAATTATACTCAGCCGAATTAAAGATGCAATTGATCAGGTACTAAGAGATGAACAAGCAGGTTTCAGATCAAACAGAAGCTGCACTGACCAAATAGCAACACTACGTACCATCATTGAACAATCAGTAGAATGGCAACCATCCCTCTACATCAACTTCGTCGATTTTGAAAGGGCATTCGATAGTGTCAACAGAGAAGGGATGTGGCAACTGCTAAGGCATTATGGTAAACCAACAAAAATTGCGAACATGATCAAGGCATTGTACGAGGATTTCACAGTACAGGTGATACATGAATCATCATTCACCAACCCTTTACATGAAAATACTGGTGTGAAACAAGGCTGCCTACTCTCCCCTACACTATTCCTGATAGCTATAGACTGGGTAACTAAGCAAGCACTAGATACTACACCAAGAGGTATACAGTGGAACTTCGCACAAAGGCTAGAAGACATAGATTTCGCAGATGACCTGGCCCTGTTATCTCACCTTTTGAAAGACATGAGAGACAAAACCACCAAACTCCATGAAACAGGAAAAAAACTAGGCCTAAAAATCAACATTAAGAAGACAAAAATTATGAAAGTAAAGACCAGAAAAGGAGGAACTGTGTCAATTGAAGGAGAAGATATTGAAGAAGTAGACCAATTTACTTATTTAGGAAGCATCATGGATAGAACGGGTGGGACAGATGCAGACATTAGGACAAGAATAAGTAAAGCTCGACAAGCCTTTGCTATGCTGAAGCCAGTTTGGAAATCAACAGCATTTACAGAAAACACCAAAATTCGAATTTTCAACACCAATGTAAAATCAGTCCTTTTTTTATGGAGCAGAAACCTGGAGACTTACAGCAGGGGTACAACATCAAATCCAGGTTTTTATCAACAAATGCCTGCGCCAAATTTGTTAATTTTGGTGGCCAGAAACAATAAGTAACAAATGCTTATGGGAAAGGACCAACCAGGAACCCGCAATTAAACAGCTAAAGAGAAGAACATGGCAATGGATTGGGCACACTTTGAGGAAACCTGTAGGTACCATCACTAGACAAGCATTAGAATAGAACCCCCAAGGACATCGGAGACCGGGGAGACTATTTCACAGCTGGAGAAGATCAAGGCGCAAGGAGCTGGAGGAGATTGGATATACCTGGAACGAAGCAAAAAGAATAGCCCAAAATAGAGTAAGGTGGAAAGCGACTGTGGCAGCCCTATGTTCCACAAGGAATGAAGAGGATTAAGTAAGTAAGTATACTTAACCCCTAACGAGAGGGATTGTGCTTGATTTTTATATGATAAAGACATAATTTTTCTATCAGTTTAATTGAGGTCTAGAGCTGGCATGTCAGTAACTGCTAGTAATCCTTTGTTAATTTATGGTATCATTGTCATTTTGCTTAGTTTCTTCTGTTGCCTATTCTAACATCGGACTCTAACTTCCTTTAAACTGAGTTGTATTGTGCGTATTGCTATGTGTTTGTTTATTCTACATTGGCTAGAGGTAAAGGGGAGGGTTGAGATCTCACAAAACAAGTTTAACCCCGCCTCCGTGTGCGGGATTTTCTCGCTGTGTTGAAGACCCATTGGTGGCCTTGTGCTGTTTTCTGCTCTTTGGTCGGGTTGTTGTCTCTTTGACACATTCCCCGTTCTAAATTTTATTATTCTAAATAGTTACAAATTCAACACTGTAATTAGAACTTTGAACATTGTTTTTATTGGTTCAAATATTGATTTTGTCATTAGTAAATTAAAATCTTACTAAATAGTTTTGTTATACACATATGCACTTTAACGGTACTACAATCTGCCGATAGCTTTATTTTGGCATTGTACAAGGTCATGTTTTCCTCTGACTGTTAGACCCCGTTCACACTAGCATTTTTTGAATCAATCTAAATTTGAATCGATCTAAATAAAACCAGTTCACATTATCTTTAATCCTAACGATCTCCATCGTTCTAATCTGAACCTACAATTAAAATTGATATGGATATGACCTAATTACTCGTGAAATTGTAAACACTGTGTATAAATAGAAATATTTAATCAAATTAATGTGTTGATACACACGCTTGTACAAAATTAATGGATGAAGTTATTGTTTCACTTGAATGACAAGTTCAAATGTTGATACCGCTGTTCGTATAGTTTTCGTTAATTTTCAGCCTTTTATGATGGTCATTCATTTGGTAATAAATTGCACGTGTAATTTTTTGCCGCCATGCATGCTCACAAATTATTTTCGATTCAATACGGTACTAGTTAAGATCGATCTCTGCGTTCCCATTTAACGTTAGATTGGTTCACTTAATTAGATCGATTCAAACTAAACTACCTCTTTTGGTGTTTTAGTTTAGACCGATTAAAGATCGATACAATGCGTTCACATTGTGCTTAAATCGATCTAAAGTGAACCGATCTAGTTTAAATCGATCTAAATGTTCAAGTGTGAACGGGGGTCTAAATGACGTCTGTACACTAAATACATTGGATTGGCTTTGCAATAGCTGTCAGTAACTGCGAGTAATCTCAGATCTGTACTAATTGTCCTTTTTGTTATTAGGGATGGGGGATGGATAAATACCCTGCCACGTCCGGTCTGTTTTTTTTGTTTGATTATTCTGATTTGTATCTATCTGATTAGTTAAGCCTTTTTCAACTTATTTTTATAGTTTGTTCTTATGTTGTGCTGTTTCACCACTGTCCCAGGTTGGGGGAGGGTTGAGCGCTCACAAATATGTTTAACCTCGCCACATTCTTTATCTGCCTGTCCGGCCAAGTCAGGAACCTGTAGTTCAGTGGTTGTCGTTGGTTCGTGTCGGTCATATTTGCTTTTCGTAAATTGTTTTGTTATAAATTTGGCCGTTAGTTTTCTCAATTGAATTGTTTCATATTTTGTATGTCGGAGCCTTTTATAGCAGACTATACGGTATGGTTTTTCTCATTGTTGAAGGCTGTACGGTTGCCTATAATTGCTTTCATCCACTTCATTTGAACATAGGTGGATAGTTGTCTCATTGGCAATCATACCTCATCTCCTTATTTTTATATATTCAAATACTTTACTTACTATCATAACATTTTACTTTGAATTTTGGCACCATTCACTTGAATTACATAGATTGTATCGACAAAAAAACAAAACAAAAGAAAAGGCTTTCAAATAGTCAATTTTGACTCAAGACGCCGTTCTTGAAGTTATTGATTCTCAAATTTCAGAACTGGGAAATTGTTTTAAAATACCTAAAAATCTACAGGCTTTGTCAATATCCTGAACGAATATATATATATCAACGAGTAGGAACCTACTAGTATTCAAAACAATGGTATATAAACGAGAGGCTCAAAAGAGCCTGTGTCGCTCACCTGTATCTTCAACAATAGCCCTTTTTTTGGAAAACTCACCATGAAAGGGCATAACTCTATAAAGAATTAACTGAAAATTTCAGTCATTTGACATATTTGTAGGTCTTGTCTTGCTGATGGTTTTTGTTTTATAAAGTTTCTATCTATCTATTATAGTTTTCAAAATAAAAGGCAAAAGTGCAAAAAATTGAGGAAAATCGTCATTAAAGGGCAATAACTTCAATAAGGAGTCAAATGACGATTTGGGTTATGTTGACTTATTTGTAAATCTAGATTTGTTGATAATTTTATCCTTTAAAGTTTTTTTTCTATCTATGATAGTTTTTAAAATAGAAGGCAAAAACGCAAAAAAATGGTAAAAATCGTCATTAAAGAGCAATATCTCCAATAAGGAGAAGGAGTCGCCTGATGACTTCAGGCATGTTGACTTTTTTGTAGATCATGTCTTGCTAATCACCTTCCTAATAAAAATGTTTCTGCATCTATTATAGTTTATATAAAAAAAAAAGGCAAAATTGACAAAAAATTATAAAATTTGACATTTAAGGGCTATAACTTCTAAAAGAAGTCTTCTAACAGTTTTGACATAACATGATGGACAGCAGGTACAATGTAGATATCAACATTCTCAATAGATTTGTCCCTGTCAGAATTTCTTTGTTCATAGCGGTTTTTAAGATAATAGACAAAACTTGCATTTTACCCATATGTTCTATTTTAGTCATGTCGGTCATCTAGGTTGACAGGCGGGTTCATCGTACCAATTTTTAAAACTATATACCCCAATAAGGATTGTGGCCAAGTTTGGTTAAACCTGTCCCAGTAGTTTCAGAGACGAAGATTTTTGTAAAAGTTAATAGACGGTGACGGTCGACGGAGGACGGACGACAAGTGGTGAGAAAAGCTCACATGGCCTTTCGGCCTGGTAAGCTAAAAAGAGGTGACAGATACCAAAATTGTAATGGTAAACTGTACATTGAGTACTTCCAATTTTCCGAAAAGTCGAAAAGTATGGTGTTTGTACAATAACCAATATATGCTTTTAGCAGTACTGTCTCAAAGTTAATCAAAGGAAACCACGAATTTCCAGGGATGGGGTCATACATCTTTAAACAGAATTAAATCACATAAAGCAATCGTTCACCTTTCACTGAATATTTCTGATTCCCAAAAGCACAAGCTAGATTTGTTCTTTTATAACTGTCCTGAATCCAATGAATGGATTTCCGTTTGACCGTTTTAATTAATCCCCCATACAATATCTATAAGCATACTAGTAACACACTATTGACTGCACATCATGAATAAACTGATTAACAAACGACATTTCAATTCCAGGGTATGATTTTATATGAAACTTCATAGTAAGAGGCATACAGTTGTAGGCACAAAAAGAGTTCTTTATGGGGAACTGCATTTTCTATTTTAGATCAGTGCATCCTTTACGATAATATTTCGTGTTGAAGAGTTATCGTTATTCAGAACGAAGATCGCCAGATGGATGGAACAATGCAGTAGAATTTGACTTTAACAATAATTGACAAAACTACTACGTTAAAAATTAACGAAGATAAAAAATGGTGCCATCAAAAACTCAGATGCTATGCCTTTTTGCGTTTATCACGGTAAGTAAAAAAACAATTTCCATTTTATCATGTTTCTTAGTAACAATTTCTTTGTAATACATTTTTATTTACAAACATTATGGTATTGTTTACACCATGTCATGTCGAGTAGGTTTATTTAATAACCAAGTCAACACATTACTACATAAAATACGGAAACTTACCACATTCGGAATTTCTACTTTCAATATGATTTCTTCAACTGCCATGTTGTTTTTTGGAAATCCGATCAGGAATTTATTATTCTATAAATAGCCCATGATGTCGGTTATATATCTTTAACTTTGTTTTTTTTTACTTTGTACTTAAAATATTTTCTCTTTAAAAACAATTTAATTAATTTCTACGCAAAATATAGATACATTTAAATTTGTTGGTATAAAACTTGAGGATATAAATGAAAGTGGCATACAGAGTTGTTAAATTCCTCGTCAGGAAGAAAAGACGTAATTTTTATCGATATTAGTTTCGAATACGTTACCTTTGCGCCAGTGTATTTTGATTTGTATTATCTCCCTTACTCCATGTGTCATGTACATGTATAATTATTGATGGCTTATTTCTCTTAATTGTTTATCGCCTGACATTCATTATTAAATGTGCCTTCCTAACGGTCACATGTGTTAGTTTTCTCTGCTTACTGGCGTGGCGGCAGCGGTCTAAGAAATAAACTCATCATAGATACCAGGATTGATTTTTGGATTTGCGCCAGACGCGCGTTTCGTCTACAAAAGACTCATCAGTGACGCTCTAATAAAAAAAAGTTAAAAAGACCAAATAAAGTACGAAATTGAAGAGCAATGAGGACCAAAAACTCCTAAAAGTTTTGCCATATACAGCTAAGGTAATCTATTCCTGAGGTAGAAAAGCCTTATTATTTCAAAAATTCAAATAATTGACCCACAGCTCAAATAGCTCAAGCTTTTGAACATTATTCCACCCAAGTTTAAGGTGAGCAGAAATAATTGTCATTTATTTTGACTAACACATCAACACTTTCTATTGTTGGACATAACTGATCTTTACAAAATGGCAGGCACACGTGCTCCAAAACAATGGTCACTCTCAAAAGAAGAAACAATTACATCGTTTGAAGCATGGAGACAAAACTTACAATATACCTTTTCCCTTGATCAAAACTTCGCAGCGTTCCTTGTAGATGGATTTACATGGCTGACGAAAACCAACGCCAATCCTTTGCGTGGCATTGCTGACGATGGCGAGGAGGTTGCCGAAGCTAACCGACGAACAGCAACCCAAAAGTGCACACATTTGGACCTTATGCTTGGACAAATAGCAAATTACTGCCCGATTATTTCAAGAAACACTGTAATTAAAAATTCGACATCAATTAATTCTATTTGGCAGTCATTTGTCTACACTACGGATTTCAATCTACTGGTGGACACTTTCTTGATTTTAATAGCATCTTTTTGGAACCAAATGAACGTCCTGAGGACTTATTTCAGCAATTGGCTAGTTTTATTGAAGACAATTTGCTTCGTGTGGGTGTCAATATTCATCACCACGGAGAAGTCCCTGAAGCCGACGAAAGAACTATCGCCTTCTTTGAAAAACCTGATTGTGCTTACGTGGTTAAGACTTATTCATTGTGACTTGCCCCACCTAGTGAAACAGCGATATGGAACTGAATTACGGTCAAAAACATTAGCTTCTTTGAAATCTGAATTTTCACAGGCACTTGATAGTTTATTTGACGAAATTCATTCAGCCACTGATGCCAAGGGTTTACGGGCGTCAATAAAAGACAAACATTTTGACAGAAGTGCAAAGAAGTCAGGTAGTTTAAGAACTATTCGTCAAATAAAGTGTTGTATTTTATGTAAGCAAGCAGGCCGTCCGTCCCAACATTTTTTAAGTTCTTGTAAATATTTACCCAATGAAGACAGACAATATAGGCAATCTAATTGTACAGCAGTAGGTGATAGTGAGTCTGATGACAATGTTGATAATGAACGAGTCTTATTTTTAAATGATGATATAGGTACTAGTAAGCTTAGAGTTGAATCTGCATTAAGACGGGTGAGCACTAAACAGTCCCCTTACTTTAAGGCATTTTATAAACATTTCCCGCTTGAGCTAACACTAGATACGGGTGCTGAGGTAAGTATGATAAAAGCTTCTTCCGCGGATTACATCGGCGTTACAATTAAGAAAAGCAACCATTCCGCTTTTTAAGCTGACGGTGTTACCCCGTTAAATATAGTTGGTGAATGTCTTTTCACACTTTCGAGGGACGGGATCGAGTTACAGTTAGAGGCCCTAGTAGTGAACGACGTAGACGTTGATATACTCGCCGGTATCCCTTTCATGTCGTCGAACGACATCGCGATTTTTCCTAGCAAACATTAAATCGTAATACGCGATAAGGTAACTGTTAGTTATGGTAGCCCAAACGAGGAACTAATAAAACTCGAGTACGTAGAACACAGGTTTTTCTTATCCGGGCTCCTTCAGCTAGCTATGTATATAGTTCAGTAGTTTGGCCAGGATGTTACGGCGAATACGATATCCCATCGGAAATAGAATCGGATTGCATTCTTGCGATCGAGCCTCACACTGACTCTTCTCGTACGAAAGATTGGCCTATACCGCAAATTGCTCATTCTGTCGCAGGCAAAATATGCATGGTGAATAACACATTGGTAAGGCAATTCATACAACGAAATGAACATTTCTGTCGAGTACGACTCACGAATACCGTAGACAAAGCACCAAAGGCTCCCGACAATATCCGTGACCTAAAAAGAACAAACTACATAGATACAACACATACTTCCCACTTTTCCAAGTCTCTGTAGACCCAGATAATTTACTTAGTCCAGATCTCCAAACCCAGTTTAATTAACTTCTGCGAAAGTTAAGTGAAGTTTTTAGTCCTAATTTTGAAGGGTAAAATGGGGCAATAGGTCCCTTTGAAGCATCTTTTAATATGGGTCCTGTCCAGCCTCCCCAACGGAAAGGTAGAATGCCACAGTATTTCAAAAATAATTTGGTTGAACTCCAAAACAAATTTGACGAATTGGAATGTAAAGAAATGTTCCGTAAACCCGAAGACGTAGGAATTTCAGTCCAGTATATTAACCCTCCTTCCTTTCTTGTCAAAAAAGTTTCCGATGGTTTCCGACTTGTAACGGCATTTGCCGATGCTGGCAGATATAGTAAGCCGCAACCCTCTCTTATGCCCGACTTTGATTCGACACTCCGTACGATCGCACAGTGGAAATATATAATCAAGTCTGATCTTACAAGCGCATTTTACCAAATTCCACTGGCAAAAGATTCGATGAAGTATTGCGGAGTCGCGACCCCTTATCGTGGAGTTCGCGTATACACACGTTGTGCGATGGGAATGCCTGGTTCCGAAACGGCTCTTGAAGAACTAATGTGTCGTATTTTGGGGGATTTCTTACAAAAGGGATGCGTAGCTAAATTAGCAGATGACTTATTTTGCGGCGGTAATACCCCAGAGGAGGTTTTACACAATTTGGAATGCGTTCTTCAGTCGCTACAAAAATCAGGAATTTGTCTATCACCTAGCAAAACTGTTATTCGCCCAAAATCGATAACAATCCTAGGTTGGATTTGGTCACAGGGTTCAATTTCCGCTAGCACACACAGAGTAGCAACACTAGCATCGTGTCCTATACCAGACACTGTGCGTGGTCTTCGATCCTTTATCGGTGCTTACAAAATGCTAGGCCGTGTTATACCGAATTGTTCTAACTTAATAGCCCCACTAGAAGAGACAATATGTGGTATGAAATCAGCTGACAAAATTATTTGGTCCGACATGATAAGAGAACATTTCGAGTTTCTGAACTCCCGTAAGGCCATCACGCTACCTAAATGCAGTGATCAACTATGGATTGTCACCGACGGATTTGTCACTAAACGCGGTATCGGAGCGACCCTATACATAAATCCTGAGGGTAAAGTGTCCTTAGCAGGATTCTTCAGTGCTAAGTTGCGTAAACATCAAGTATTGTGGCTACCGTGCGAAATCGAAGCGCTTTCAATTGCCGCTAGTGTCAAACATTTCAGTCCCTTTATTATTCAGTCAAAACTCCAAGCTAATGTGTTGACAGACAGCAAACTCTGCGTGTAGGGCTTTTAAAAACGATGTCGTGGTGAATTTTCTGCCAGTCCGCGTGTCACATCGTTTCTTTCCGTCGTAAGCCGATACCAGGCTAGAGTCAATCATTTATCCGGTCGTGCAAATATTCCATCGGACTTTGCAAGCAGAAACGCACCCTTATGTACAGAGCCTAATTGTCATGTTTGTTGCTTTATATCGCGTACCGAAGATTCTGTCGTACGAGCCGTAAGCATTAAAGACGTTTTTAATGACAAATTTCGCCTACCTTTTACTACCAGGTCTGCCTGGATTAATATTCAATCAGAATGCCCTGATCTAAGGCGCACTCACGCTCATTTAAAACAAGGCACTCGGCCCTCCAAAAAACTGACAAACATCAAAGACGTCAAACGTTACCAGAAAGTTGCATCAATTGCCAAAAACGGTTTGCTAGTTGTTCGGCTTTGTAATCCCCTTGCTCTACTCAACGAATTGATCATTGTTCCACGTAGCGTTCTTGAAGGACTCGTCACCGCTCTACATATTAAGTTGGACCATCCGTCAAAACACCAATTAATCCTCGTCTTAAAACAACACTTTTACGCTTTAGATATGCCAAAGGCGGCCGAACAGGCTAGTGACTCCTGTCACTCATGCGCGTCTTTAAAACGGTTCCATAAGAGCCTCGTCGAACAGTCTTCAGAAGACCAACCGGACTTGGTTGGCATATCTTACGTGGCCGACGTTCTTAGGCGCAACCGTCAACTCATCCTGGTCGTCGGAGAAACTGTTACGTTGTACACTAGGACGTGCTTTATCATAGACGAAAAACTGGGTAGCTTGCGTGATGGGTTAATACACTTATTGATACCTTTAAAGCATTTAAACGGTCCCAGTGTTGTCGTTCGAGTTGACCCGGCAGCTCAACATATCAACTGAAATTGGTCGCGTCAAAAATCAGAACAAAAATCCAGTTGCCGATAAAGCCATCGCTGAGCTTGAAGACGAGTTACTTCGTGAAGAACACGATCAGTCTCCTCTATCTGTAAATACACTAGTTATTGCTACCACGAGACTTAATTCAAAACTTCGCCAGCGTAGGTTGTCCTGCCGCGAGCTATGGACTCAAAGAAATCAGTTTACTCATAAACAATTGCCTATTTCTGGCATGAATCTTATTAGCGCACAACAATAGGCCCGAAAAAAAAATCACGGATTTAGCGAAATTTCTAAATGCAGTAGACCCGGTCGTCCGATCCCTGATGTTTCCATAGGGGATTTGGTTTACCTTTATACCAACAGGTCAAAGACCCAATCGAGAGATCGGTACTTTGTAGTAGCGCGTAATGGCGAATGGGGTTTCATCAAAAAAATTTTAGGCAATCAACTCCACGCCTCGTCCTACAAAGTAAAACTTTCGGAATGTTATAAAGTTTTAAACACCATAAATGTCCACCGAAATCCAAGATACTCTCAAAACGAATACGATAAGGAGTCCGATTGTGATGACCATGATGAAGATAGCCTTCCTGGGCCTATCCCTAACCTACCACCAGCTCGCGCGTAGCCCCGCCTTTTCCTTTTTGCGAAAATATCGACGATGTTGAAAATCTGGACGAGCCGACTGAGATACCTGATAATAGTCTAGAACGTCACATTACAGATAGTAAGTCAAGCAATGAACAAGATAACAAACGCGTTCTCCGTAAGCGCCCTGAATTGAAAACGCCAGCGCGGTTTAAAGATTTCGTTGTCTTTTAAATTTAATGCTCACTCGTCCGTAGGTTGTTAAAATAAAGAAAAGTCATATTTCTTTCTGTATTTGATTTACTGATAATTTTATGTTTATTACAATGTATATGCACAGTATTTTTTGTTTAACTACTTATACAATATATATATACATTCATTTGATCGCATTCGATGAAGATATAGTATAGACTTTAAAGGAGAAAAGAAATGTCAGAATTATTTTGTATTCTTATTGATAGTTATGTGTTTAGCTTATGCATATTGATCACAGTTATTTTCTTTCATGTTCTCAAGATAACAGAGATTACTAGTTAACAACTGTGAGCATATTATTTATTTTTATGTAAACTTTAAAGGAGAAAAGAAGTTGCGCCAGTGTATTGTATTGATTGTTACATGTGATATGTGTAATATATGCAAAATCGTAGGGTCAATTTTAAATAAAGGCAACAGTAGTATACCGCTGTTCGAAATTCATAAATCGATTGAGAAAAAACAAATCCGGGTTACAAACTAAAACTGAGGGAAACACATCAAATATAAGAGGAGAACTACGACACAACAGAAACACAACATTAAAATGTAACACGCACAGAAACGAACTATAATATAACAATGGCCATTTTCCTGACTTGGTACAGGACATTTTAAGAAAAAATGGTGGGTTGAACCTGGTTTTCTGGCTAGCCCTTTTGTTAAACTTGTACTTGTACATTTTAAACACGATGAAGGTATTGAAATGGTCATGACCACCAGAGACATAGAATCCAATATGATATATCATGTATTATGTGTCTTTGTTATCATCAAGGCGAAATTATTTCCAAACTTGTAGGTTTTCAGTTCACTGCCATCGCAATTATCAATTGTTTATGCCTATTAATATGCATACAGGTTAATCTGTGTTTTATACTAGAGTATATGAAATATGAATGCTATAAATGTATCTAATCTTTTATTTACTCTTTACACGGGAAACTTTAGTTTGCACATTCATCACAGTGACCATTTAATTTGAGTACATGCAATTGTGCAAGCGGAGTCAGCAGGTTTAACAAATTTCTTCATAAGATAACATTTTAGGCTTCGAAATAATTTTGGATTTATTGTCAAATACGTTGATTTTGTGCATTTTTCTGACATAAAAGCTTGAGGAAACATTTTGCAGCAGCCTACATCCAACATGCTTTATAACCAAAAACTACCAATGATGATATTGAATTCCTAGACACAAAAACGTTCTGGATCACGGATGGCGCCAAAGTTGATTATGCTAAAAACTGTTAAGAACTATTGAAAATTTAACCAAAATCGACGTGACAACACAAATAATGTATTACTTCGTCTTTTTTAATGTGATGTCCCAAAACGAAGTTATTTTGTATTAAAAGTAATAAAACAACTATTTCCACGTGATATGTGTAATATATTGGCCTGATTAATAAACATCAAAATCGTAGGGTCAATTTTAACCCTTTTGTTAAACTTATGGTTGTACATTTTATTATTGACATTTCTTCCCTGTTCTTAAACTGTCTATGTTCAAGTTATTATGTGTTATATTGTAGAATTTTTATTTTATCTTGAGAAAATGCTGTTCATACCTTTACAAGTTAATTAACGTTATATGTGTAAATTGTTAGAGACAAGTGCGTGTACTCAATTTTTTTCATTGCCAGACTTTTGACAACAAATGTAGGGCATTTAACGTGAGGGTACCTAAACTGCATATATTTTGACAGTTTATTTCACCTACGTTTATTTATGATCCAGACAAAAGTTTCCATTCAGTGTTTATTTTGTAGATGTATCTTCATTTACTATATACTTCCACCAATTTAATTTTGAATCCATATTGAATCATAGAAAATGGGTTGTCTCTTTGACACATTCCCCATTTCCATTCTCAATTTTATTGAACCGACCATGATTCTGTAATGAGCAGTACCCAAATTGCATCCATGCTTAAATTTTCATTCTTAAAAATCGAACAACAGATGTTTTGTTTTATTTCTTTAAACATTTAGAACAATTTAACATTAGTCCATGCTTACTATTAATTTTTTTTAAGAAATGAATGCTTGTAACATATTTTATTTGCTGATTTTTAAAAGATGATCTTTTGTGGTCGTCGCATGGCGACGTTTCCGTAGATTTTACTTTTTCCAGTGAATGTTTCATCTGTTGATATATACTGTGAAAGTTCTGTGTATATTTAAATATATCATATATGGTTTGATTTTTCTTGTTTCTCATTGGTTTATTTGGTCACGTGTTTTCCATTATATATTTTGTATTTTTTCACTATTTTGACATATTGACTCGACGCTACGATTTTTAAAAATGATATTGACTCCATGTTACTAAAATAGTAACATCGAGTCAACATCATTTCCAAAAATAGTAACATCGAGTCAATATAATTTTCAAACTTACACTATTTACATATGTAATATATAAATTAAGGACTTTCACTCGGTCAATACGTTATATATGGACCTGTTAGATTATATTGAAACTCGGACTTTGTCCTCGGTCAATATAATCTGAACAGGTCCATATATAACGTATTGACCTCGTCAAAAATCCATAATTGATAAATATTTACCTATGTTGAAAGACGAGCATAATGTCAAATCACAAAAATACAAATTGTTTAGTCTCTAAGAAAACCTGCAAGATTTCCGCTGCTATTTTTTCTAAATAAGTGCAATTTGGGTACTTAGTGCAATTTGGGTACTCGTTGCAATTTGGGTAAAACTATTGCATTTGATTAAGTAAGTGTTGAACTTATGGTTCCTATAGTGGTTTCACAACCTTATCAACATATTGTTTCTTACGGGTTCCACATGTGGAGCAGAATCTCCTTAACCTTCCTTTCTTGTTCATGGTAAGTACATATTTAGTGATGCTTTACGCTAAGGGATTTTACAATGTAGGAAAGGAGGACGGGATTGTTACGATAAGTTGAACTTATCCATGGCCTTCTGTGACATAGATATTCCACATAGCTAGCCAGGTAATGATGACTCCGTAAAACTTTCGAAGATCTCTCTTTAAAAAAAAAATATATCAACTGACAATAAACAATAAAAAAAAAATATTACATTGCACAAAAAAAAGAAAAAAAAAAACACAAAAAAAAGAACAAACAAAAATTTACAAAACACTACAGAGAAATTTAAAGACCGAATAACTATAACCTCATACATAATTGGGGTGAACTTAGGTGCTCCATAAGGGTAAGCAGAAATTTCCCCACTAGTCCCACGCGTAGTGTTGTTAATGAGACTCAGTCGCGAATTTGCGTTAATTTTTCTATGCCAATAAAACTTATGTCGTAAATCTACAATCATTTATCTGGTGTATACCACGTCTATCTCTTGGTGTCTTATTTAGTTCGTGGCAGGCTTATTGATTCGATTATCTAACACAACAATTGCTTGCGACACTAATAAGTTTAATATTTTTTACGTGGCTAGTCATGTTGCTATAAATGAACGGGGAAAATGCAGATATGATGTAATCGGAAGTCGCCAATATTGAGATCTCGAAGCACTTTTTTGTATTTTGAAAATTTTGTAGCAAACATTGTGGTATAGGTTGACTGATTTATGATAAAGAAAATTGCATAAATTGATGACACCAAGCCTCAAAATTGGTCACAAATGAAAGTCTGAGAAATAGGTATTTTGATATTTCTGCTTTCTTTCAAACAGAACGTCGTTAAAAACCGTATTTAAAATAACCTAGGGACATTTTTTGAATGATCTGAAAGGAAAAGTTAAAACGTCCTCTACATCGAACTGCACTGATTTGTTAAATGACTAAGACTAAGACATCGAACATGATAGCAAAATTTCCCAAGTTACTTACAGCTCTAGTGAAGAAATTACATACCTCAAGAAACGTAAGTATGTAAAAGACAATGATATAGCGTCAGCTTTCTGCTAATTTGAATTGAAAATTACAATTAAAAGCATCAAAAATGCAATAGACGTCATCTATTCATTATTTTATTAATTTTTAGGTTATATGGACAATGTGCTTACCGACAGAGGTAAACACAGGTAGAGATGACTGCAAGAGCACATGCCCTTCAGATAAAGCAATATATAAACAAACATGCATCAGCACATGTCCTCCACATACCAGAAGACTGGAGACTGACCTTGCTAGATACTGTCTAATTGATAACGAGTTCAACTGTTTAGGAAGGCTTTGTGGTGGTGATTTTCCATATTGCTATCAAGCAAATTGTGTCAAAACATGCCCAGAGTATACAGTAACATATAATGATACATGTATGCTTAGATGCCCGGCAGACGCTCCGTATGTTACTGTTGATCAATGTACAGGAATTTGCTTAACTGGAAGAAAAGTGTGTTCTCTTAAATGTCCCGAAACCCATCCGTTTGTTTTTCATTCTGAATCGTTTAATTTTTGCTTACAAACATGTCCAGATTTTACAGCGGCCTCATATGCTCAATCGACATGTAGCACTAAATGTCCTCGATCTGCTCCTTATTTATTTAACAAAACATGTCATAATATTTGCCCAGATACCCACATGTTAGTTTTAACTAAGATTTCAAAATATAATATTATACCAACGTGCACGCAATCATGTTCAGACGAAACAGTTGTCGATGGAAATGTGTGTGTAGAATTTTGTCCTAGCGGTAAACATTTATTCAACAAGACCTGCGTAGGAAAATGTCCTAAATCGCACCCTAATTTATATCCAAGAAACCAATATATTATAAATCTAGATACAAAACACTATGGGCGTGCCGCTTTCATATGTGTTGAGTCATGTATCAATGTAGAGGCAGATATTCCTTGGCTTCAAAGACTATATTCCTGGGCAACACCTGCAATACGTCTTTATAAAAATGTTTGCGTGGGTGAATGTCCAGCCACTAGCAAATTTGACTATAATGGAATATGTGTGAAAAATTGTCCAAGCAATGAATCATTCTTGCAACCAACATCTGGAACAACGATTAAATGTGTCAACTATTGTTCAGAGGTTTATTACAATAGGACTTGTATGGACTATTGCCCTTCTGAGGCTCAATATAGGATGAATAAAACGTGTTATAAGACATGTCCAAATGATTTTCCTTTTCTGCAAAGAAATGCTTGGGATTATTCGTGTGTAGATAGTTGTAAAACATTTTATTATAACAAAAAATGTGTCTCAGAGTGCCCAAAGGAAGCTAAATACCAGCATAATATTACATGTGTGAGTAAATGTGACGGCGATCTTCCGTTCAGTTACAGTTCAGTTACGAAGGATGAAACCTGGCCATATAAAAAACACTACAATAATAGCTGTGTGAAATCGTGTCCGAATCTTGAAACTTTAGATAAAGATTGTGTAGACAGCTGTCCAAAAGACGAAAAATATATACTCAACTCTACTTGCGTGTCTATATGTTATGGAAATCTTCCGTACGCATACAAACAAACCACTTCAGAAAAAAGGTACCCTTATAAGGAGCATATAAAGTATATCTGTATGCAATCATGTCCTCTGGATACATTTCTTTACAACGATACAAATTGTGTTGCGAACTGTCCAAAAGATGCAAATTTTATATTTGAATCATCTTGTGTGAATGAATGTCCTCTATCAAACCCTTTCAATTACACTAAGAACGGTAAAGGGTTTGGGATATATCAGTGTGTGGAAAGTTGTCCAAACAAAACATTTTTTTACAAGGAAACATGTTTTGACAATTGTCCAGAAAACCTTAAAACTCATATACATACTTGCACTGAAAGCTGTCCTATTTCACATCCGTACACTTATATTCAATTAATACAAAAAGAACCAATAGTGGGAAGTATAAACAAATGTCTAAAAAGATGCCCGGACGGAACAGTTATAAATGACCATTTCTGTGATAAATTATGTCCAGCCAACATACCTTATCTTGAAAATAATCGATGTGTGAATGTTTGTCCAAATTCAAATGCTCTTGTCGAAATTACAAACCAGGGCAAGAAGTGTCATGATAAATGCCCACATCATTTATTTATAATGGATGACAATTGTGTAGAAAAATGCCCGGACAATAGGCTAATCGTCGGAAGTTCTTGTAAAGACATAGGCAAATGTCCCTACCATACCTATCTAGAACATTCTGAAATTGGGAAAAGATGCACAAACAAATGCTCTGCAAAGTTTTATCTCGATGGATTAGACTGTATTAAAGAATGTCCACCACAAAAGGTGATAGCTGGAATTAGTTGTTTAGATGAGTGCCCACCTGCTTTTCCACTAAGCCATAAGGATTTCAGTTCAAAACCACGTATTCATTGTTATGGAACATGTCCTTCTGATTATGTTGCAAACGGAACCGAGTGTATTGAAAGCTCTACATGTCAAGTTGAAAACCACTTTACATACAGAAATAGATGTTACGAAAAATGCCCACACTTGACAATTGAGTACGGGTATAAGTCCTGTGCTTCAATGAATATATTCATAACATTTTTAGTTGTATGTATACTGTGTATAATAATACCACTTACTTTGATATATGTTGCCACCTGCTTCACTGGATGGTCTTCCAGAACAAGGGAATACACAGCAACGTTTAATCGGGTAATATTTTAGAATACCATGTAGAGCTCCATGAGCATCATAGCGAAAAAGATGAAAAACGTTATTTCTTTTTAAAAATCCAATCAAACCATCAATACAGTTCACAAGACCTTCAGTACGTAAAGACCTTTAGAAAAAGTGGGGTCTGTAACAATACATAAGGAATGCATTAGAGCCAAATGTTTTTCTTGTACGCTCTTAAACATTCCCCCCCCCCTACTACTTTAAGCGAGCTTAAAATCCATATGTTGACCTCTGAATGTCTTTAAACTTCTGTGACGTTCGTTAGGTTTCGGTCTTATTTGCATATACCCCACAACTGCTTTTATTGATTGTACTGAATGTAAATGTGATTTTTGCCACTTGACGTTACACAGCCATCATTCAATCCTCTTATTGTATGTTCATTCTTTAGGAAACAATGTTTTAAAATTAAGAGTCGCCCAAAAATGAATCATTTTTTCCTCAAAATATTATCAATCAAATGTTTTTAGTTATATCCCATTATTAATAAGTTTTGATATTTGGATAGTTGATAAGAGTTTTTTTTGTTACTGTACAATAGGTAGCATCTATATTGACATTACTTATTCAACATTTTTATAAGAATAAGAATAAGAATTGTATTAGTTTAAAATCCAAACAATAGGATTATTACTAAAGAAAAACATATAAATAACAATACGATAGACAGAAAACAATACAAACATGTAGCATATAAGATATATCTATAAGATACAATATTTAAATTTTTTTCACGTAAAAGAAAAGTAACACAAGTAAAATGAATTTCTACATAAAGGTTTGTTCATGTACTATATTTAGTAATACAAACAACACATGTATTTACCGAAAAAGATAGACATACCATACCAACCACTAACACCCGACTCGTCCGAGAAAATAAACGTTGATACGAATTCAGGTCAAGTTTTTCATCGATTTTTTTCTTGAAATTTTGGACACAAAGTCACTGTTGATATGCAACCTTGAAATGTGCAAAGACGCATGAGATATTTCAGTTAGATTTTCCGATCCGTGATTTAAAAACACAAAAATGCATATCTCAATACTTTTCCGAAAAAAAACCTCTCAATCAGAAAAGGATGCTTCTTCCGTTGTTTTGTGATGTAAAATCTATACCTCATTTCTTGCATTTGAAGTAAAATACCCCCCCCCAAAAAAAAAAAAAAAACAAAAAAACAAACAAACTTCCGCACAGTCCACCTACCAATTGTGTGACAATTAAGTTGAAGAGGCAAATAAACGAGGGCACATACATGGAAAAGCAGTTAATTATCCACAACTGTCTGTTTCATACTTTTCCGAAAATAAAAACACTCTCAAACAGAAAAAAGATTCTTTCTTCCGTTGTTTTGTGATGTAAAATCTAGACATCATTTCTTGCATTTGAAGTAAAATACACCCAAAAAAAAACTTCCGCACAGTCCACCTACCAATAGTGTGACAATTAAGTTCAAGTTCAAGAGGCAAATAAACGACGGCACATATATGGAAAAGCAGTTAATTATCCACAACTGTCTGTTGCATACTACTGAGAAAAACAAGGGTCCATCAAATTATTTGAAAAAACCCTTCAATTCATTTGCAATATACGAAGGTTTCATATTATCTTAAAAGAAACGATTACCAGAATTTTTTGTTTTTTGTTTTTATTTTGAAAAGTACCTGATTTCAGATTGTATGGGTATCTACGTGGAAGTCTATTGGGTGAAACTCATTTCAGTGCTCCCTCTCGATTTCAAAACCATAGATTAACTATAATAACATTTAGACTACCACTATACTGAGTTTCTACAACAATAAAGTTTCGAGACAATAAAATTTAAAATTGTTTAAAATGACGAGAATTGAGAAGTTTCGTTTCGAACGAGATATGGTGTTGCATGAATTTCTCTAATGACTCTTAGACGTTGTGTAGGCAAACAAAATCTTCCTTTTCAATAATTAGCAAAAGGATTAAGTTCTAATTATTACTTCATTTGGCATGATTGCCTATTTTTTGCGGATAATAGCGGAATCAGAGGATATCAAGAAAATTTGAGATCTTATTTGATTTTGACCAATTAAGAACTGAGATCAAGCGAACCACACGTCAATTTAGATGAATAATCAACCGTTCGGCTTTAAGTGTTCCTGATGAATGTAAATCCAGAAAAGCACTTCGAATGCAATAAATATGTTAAGTGTTATTTTCTAGCTTTAGTTCGATACCACTGCTGGTGGACTCTTAGTCCCAGAGGATACCATCAGCTCGGTATTCAATAATTGGGTACCGATATGATTTATATCATAACTTTCATAACATTTCCGATGATAAGTTTTGAAATTAATACGAATTCCAACTCTTTTAGAAATAGATGTGACATACACTGCACTTCTTGTAGAGAGAGGAAAGTATAATCAAAACAAAAATCCTTTGGCAATAATATAAACGCTACCAATGTTAATGCACCAGATACGCATTTCGACAATTGATGTCTTTTTAATGTTGATCAAGCCAAAATGTTTAAAAATCCAAAAACCTTAATAGAAACGTTGAAGAGCCGTTAAATCCCCAAAAGACACTAAAAGCCAAACCCAGACAAGGATTTTTCGTTATCAATATTTTCCCTCTGAATAAAGCAAAAAATTTAAATCATTTAAATCATTTTTCATTTGTTAAAAAAGGATCACTTGGAGATAAAACTATATGAACATCTTCGTTTAAATGAACAAAAAACAATCCAAATCCATTGCATTTCTTATATTTTGATGATTTGAGTGAAAAATCTGGACTGATCATTTGTGATGATTTGAGATCAGATGATAAATTATTATTTCAAAACTACATAAATAATGTCAACTGTGCCAGTATTGCTGCAACAGATGCATATTTCGACACTAAATGTCAAATATGATTTGTCTGATTTTACAATTGTCCATTATATACTACCTGTAATGATATCTTTTGGTCGCATGATATGTTTTGTATTTGTATAGACATAACAATGATTATATACACAATTGCCATTTCATGATCTTCTAGATAACGATTTAACCAAAACAGTGATATTGTGAGCCTGAAGTTACTCAGACACTCATCAGACAACGCGACTGTCACTTATGTCATACATGTATATTGCATTTTTCTTTGTCTGCTATTGATTAGTAACGTATTATTTTATTTTAGGAAAAACAATCACGCGAGGAAGATAACGATTCTAATACAACACCTTTGATTTCTTTTGAAAATGGTGGTATCGAAAACAAGCATTCGGAACATTCAAATAGTATAGAAGTGAGATCTGATATTGAAGATATTATGGCAGAACTTGACGATGGTTATAAAACATCTACTGATAGAAACTTTAGAGTAAAATATGAACCTGTCCAGAAAGAAACACGTGATAGAGAAAATGAAGATAAAACGCACACAAATTGTAGAAATGAGACAAAAGATGTTCATATCGAGGTTTTGTCAACTGAGCAATGATTTAAAATGATCTAAAGTACATTTAATTTTTAAATATCAAATACAGCTTAAATCAAACCATGAAGCGACCAATATTTCAAGTATCAGGACGAGTACTTGTTCAAAAAATGACAATTTGGACACGAGGAAAGAGAAGGGGTGAGAAACAACGATTGATATAAATTCATTTGGATTTGTTTCTACAAACATGTCGCTTTCTTGTACACGAGGGTCAGACATTAAAGTCAATTAATTGTTTAAATTTTGAAGTTTTTTGTTTGTGCAAATAGGGACATCGTTTCATCAAAATCCATATATTTATATATATCATTTGAGGAATACTATCGATTGTGCAAGCCTACTTCGGTAAACAACGGTGCCATTTGCGTCAATAGTGACTAATATCACTAGCGCCAGACTATCGATTATGCAAGCCCCCATCGGTAAACAACGGTGCAATTTGCGTCAACAGAGATTCATATAACTAGCGCCAGACTATCGATTATGCGAAACCTTCATCGGTAAATGCGTCAATAGAGATGCATATAACTAGCACCAGAATATCGATTGTGCAAACCTTCGTTGGTAAACAACGTCAATAGAGATTCATATAATTAGCGCCAAACTATCGATTGTGCAAGCCTATTACGGAAAACAACGGTACCATTTGCGTCATTAGCGATTTATATAATTTGAGGCAGATTATCGATTGTGCAAGCTTACTTCAGTAAACAACGGTGCCATTTGCGTCAATAAAAATCAAATAGGAACAGGCTATCGATTGTGCAAGGCTTTATCAGTAAACAACGGTGCCATTTTCGTAATAGAGATCAATTAAATTGAAGCCATTTGGTTTTTTTAAATTTTTTTATTTAAAGGTTTGTACAATTAAATAAGTTGAACAGTTAACTATATATACAAAAGTCATTGGCTAGAGAGAGCTCGGCATATATGTTCAGATCTCTGAGGCAATATAGGTGACTTCAGATGCATACCAGGGTTTTTAAGAAACAGTCAGTAAAACACTAAAATAAACAAACATCAACTGGACCAAAAATATTATATTGCAACTAGACAGCAGGTCGAGGATAAAATTACATTTAGACGCAATAAACGTAAACGGATAAAGTTTGAAAAAAAGTTCCAGTGAACTGACTTTAACATTATGACATGTATCGCGATTTTAAACAGATTGTTCTACTGTTCATATGTTCCAGAAAAGGAGTAATGAGATCACCCCCAGTTTTTGGTGGGGTTCGTGTTGCTTAGTCTTTAGTTTTCTATGTTGTGTCTTGTGTACTATTATTTGTCTGTTTGTCTTTTTATTTTTTAGCCATGGTGTTGTCAGTTTATTTTCGATCTATGAGTTTGACTCTCCCTCTGGTATCTTTCGCCCCTCTCTTGCATTAGATTTCCTGAAGAGTTTCATTTCAATAAAACATTGAACCAAAAAACGATTCAATATTTTGGTTCTCAGAAAAATACAACTCTCCTTTTTGTTAGAAAGCTTTCATTATAAACTGTAATACAAAAAATTGTTCATACTTGCCTCGGTCTATATATATATTTTTTGAGAAATGACTGCCTTGTTTGTAACTCTATATGGTCTCCAGTACCAAAAACTATTCACATATTCATCTTACTTAAACATTGCCCTTTTCATTTACTTTAATGCTATTCTACATTTTGACAATACAATTTATTTTGGGCATGTTCAATAACTACTAAATTTGTCATACGGATTTAAATGTACATCCAGTAAGAGCTCAAGAAAGATTTAAGAAGCAATTTAAAAATAAGAAAGCACAAAGCAACAGCACATAAGCATTAATATTAAAAAATAATAGTTCCGATTTCAATGTGCACGAAACGTAGACACTTCAATTTTTTCCATCCTCTACTACAATAAATAAACGCCCATTATACTAAAATCTAGCCCATGCACTTTTAGGACTGTGACATACCTCCTCTTAATTTTTTAATTTTTTAATGTAAGCGATATAACTTAACTGACACCATTGAAAATAAGCGGAAACTCTTTCATGTGTTATCCTTGGAAATAAATCAACTTGAGAGTGCATTTTATCATTACCGTATTTGTGTTATTTAATGTTTTATAACGCATATTTTAAACTTGTATAAGGGGAAAAAAGTAATATAACGTTTTCCCAGCATTAGGCTGGCCGTTTGTGTTCCCAAGGCCTTTAAAGAAAGTCAACTTCGGAGCACTGCGACTGAATGTAAGGCTATAATATATTTGGTAAAATTTGATGTAAAATGACGGTGGACATGGATACTAAAAACAAGCACCGTCCAGAGATGGTCATGCCACCATATGACTGAAAAGTATATGTGAGGTATACGTCAACGGCAAATCAACGAACAATACTGATTATAAGAAGAACAAAAACAAAACATGCACAAACACACACACACAACGGCAACACAGCTTTGAACAATAGACAGACAAAAATATGTTCATCGCTTCTTGTAGATTTTGTATGTTCGAAAGCAGCAATATAAATCTATTCAATATTATGCAAATTGAAATATACATACATAATTAAAAGATATTCTTATTTTGTGTATCAAAATGAGCACAATTATCAGGACACTGCAGGCAAAATGAGTATACGACCAATCCATAGACTGAGTCCCCAGTGGGTTCATGGGCAAAGCCCTGGTAGGGGGACCGGGCTGGCTAAGCCCCACGAAAGCTCCGCATATATAGCGTTTCAAAGCATTCACAACCGTGATAAAACTTGTACATTTTTGTTGTGGTTGTTTGGTCAATTATTGGTTTAATATCGAGTCGAGTGAAGACTAAGCATTGTCGTTTGCGTTTTTTGTACGCCGTGAGAGCTTTTAAAATCACGGAGACTTGTTTCATATGGTAGTATTTGTATTGAGCAATGTAGATGTATAAAAAAACAATAAACATCAACTCAATACTATATGTGGAGTTTCTGCTAGCATAAACATATTACAGCAATCAATCTGTTGAATTTCAAACTTGAAGTAAATCAATTCTGGTCAGAAAAAAGGAACCCCAAAAGACGTTTCTTCCTAACAGCAAATGCGTCAATAACTTTCTTAATGTAAATTTCCCAATGTTTGTATGCTTGAAGGATGGACTGTTAGTGATTGACGAAGGGGACTCTATGGGTTTTTTTAAAACTGATCCTAAAGTTTGAGGAAAAAATAATTTGGCTTCGATGGGTTTAGAAAAATAAGTAATCGGATGTTTTTTTCATTAAAAAAACAATATTGAATATTATGAAATAAGTTTATCATGCCGCATACAAAAATTTTGCATGAGAAAAAAAAACTATATGCCCCCCCCCCCCCCCCCCCACCCACCCCCTTTTCAAATTACATTGTCGGTCCCTAAGTTCGTTTTTCTCTTTACGCTTTACTTTATGTCCGGTGTTTTTGTTCTTAGACTTAGATCTACCCTTATTTGCTTAAAAATACTTTTGTTCGAAAATTATAAATTACCTTAAAGGAAACTTGTATTTTGCAACATTTTCCCATGATGTTTTGTCAGCAAATATAGTTTTACTCTGTCTTGTTGTAAACATTCTATGGAGATTGTGAGGGGAATGGTTCTGGATACAGTGTATAGGGTATATTCCAAGGCACTTCAAATAATACTCAAAGTAGTAAAACAAATAACAATTTAATGAAAAGAAAGTAAACTCATAGACAATAAACTTATCAAAACGGCTCACGTATTTCAAGGTAGAAACCCTTACTTAAATCGTATCCAGCCAACCAGGTGAGTTAAACCATCGTAACGCAATAAGGCATGCATTGTGCTTCGCACTTCAGACAGGCAACCCGTCTTCACCCGTTTTCATCTTAATGTGCACTCAGACAGGCCACCCGTCTTGAGGTGATTAATTCTAACTAATTGGGTGGTCTTTAACGACCTTGACTGGCTGGTAAGCCCTCTCACGGTCGGTTTGGTGCCCGAAGGCGTTTGGTGAGCTTTTAATAATTGGTTGTTGTCAAGCTGGATAAAGGCGGCCGTTTTGGTTTTACGTAGATGGATTTTGGTTTGTTTACTATTGTTGTTTGGTTTTGAAGTTCGTCTTGACAACGACTGTTTTCAGGACCAGGTAGATCAGCTATGCAGTCAGCTAACCACGATGATGAAGTACTTGTCGATGAGTCTCGGACGCAATAATAACGATGACAGGAAGCATTATCAGGACCAAAGTCGTAAGACAGTGAAATGGAGGTCCATTATCCAACACCATGCATATGGCAAAATCAAAGGTACTTTGTTTAAATCATTTGCACCACGTGACTTTGTCCCTTTTGATCAAATTACTTCCCTTAGCTTAAGATTGAAAATATAATTTATTATAGATTTGCGTATAATCCAGTCCTTTTCCGTCATGTATCTAAAACTAATGTATCTTTAAAAACTTCCTTTGGCGGATATTTACAAAAATGCTGTGTAATTCTAAGGGAAAATGCTTAAAATTTGACTTTTTACGAAATGGGAAGGTTGAAATCATCATGTTTTTAAAAGAATTTGGCCGAAAACTTAAGAAAGCAGGTAGGTTAAAAGTTATTTAACTTTAAAATTCAACCTACAAGGTGTTTCCCTATATGCGAACAAATCATGAACAATATCTTCTTTCATGTGTATTTCTGTTTTGAATCTTGCTATTTTACGATTTTACGTCATTTTATTTGATCTTATATAGCAATTACACATTGTTTACGCTTCCGATTTTTAAACTAAAAAGGCCGAAAGATTTCAGAGTAGACAATGTCCATTTGTACACGGACAGAAGCCTAAAAACATGTACAATTCACCTATATGCGAACAAATTGTTCATTCGACATAGGTATTTGCATATTGGCATTTTTATTAAAAGGGCTTATATAATTCTATTGTAATAGCTGCCGTCATGATAAGGCAAAATGGCCGCTATGCAAATTAGCAAATTACCCCAAATTTTGCCATATGGGATACAGGCCCTCGTACGTCAGACGGCATAACACTCCCCCATTCGTAATGGGTTTTGGAGGGTATGCTGACGCGGACATTTAATCAAGCAAAATGTAGACTGTACAGCGTTGAATAGGTTTCTGTCATGAAAGTAGTACGTCGTTGAGCCATCCATCAGTAAACAAACATCGTAGATAGCGGGTAAGGAGGAGCTGACCAAGCACTTCCATTCAGTGCTAATGACTGAGACGTGATTGGGAATGATGATTAATGGTAATTCAAATATTATGATTATTTCATTTAAATAAGTTCCTTCAAGATGGTAAGCAAAAATAAATAACATTGCAAAGTTATCACAAACGTCTAATAAATAAAGGATCTCAAATGTCAGTTTAGTACTGAAAAGTGAAATAATCCATACCTATTACAGAGATATTGCCAATATCTGGATAAGGAGATTGGTCAGATGAAGACGGAGTCGACGAGTCAGTTAGTGTTGGGGCGTCTCTATTGCATTGGATATTTAACTTTGTGGAGTTCTGATCATCTGAACCTCTTCCTTCAAAACGCGAAGCTAATGAGTCGGTTTCGGTTCGAATTAAGAAAATATCTCTTTCTGCATGCCCAGTCTGCATGACTAACAGCTTCATCAATGGCGGATCCAGGGGTGGGGGTTTCCGGGGGTTTGAATCCCCCCTTTTTTGACGATCAATACTTTTGAATGGGGACATATGGCTGGAACCCCCTTTTAAAATGGCTGGATCCGCATCTACATCAACACTTGTTTCACCAACATCCGACTGACTAATTTTTTGCCTCCGGGTAGCAACCCCCCTAGACTCCGAACGGTCATGCGTTCAACTGCGTTTTTTAACGAGAATCAAAATGTTAATTCCTTAGTTTTGTTTCTGACTATTGTTGGTTTTTTTATGTATGTATACATACACTGCCACGTCCATTTGCTTTTGCAAATACCAAAACCAGGACCCATTACGAGACACTCGGGTAATCAAACATACCAAAAGGTAACTTTTGATAAGGATGAGATGTTGGCAAACCATAAGTCCTTAACGGCCTCATTGCATATTTTAATGAGCAACAAATTTGAAGACTTGCCTTGATTGTATTGGAAACCATAACTTCAAAAAGCCCCGTACAAACAACTATACAAATATCCATAAGATTGATCAAATTTTTGTCCGCAGTGAAAGAGGTACTACATGAATACTGTAATACTGTTTACTCGCGTAGTGGCATTAAACACATGTGGATTCCTAAGTACTCAAAAGAAGAAAATTTAAATCTCGGTCAAACTCTATCAAAAGCTTTGATTATTAATAAAAGATACTACACCGAAAAACATGTGGTCAATATGCTGGAGTTTCTCATTGACATCATATGTGTTGAATTTGAGGTAAATTTTTTCAGCAGGTTGTCAGCATTCCTATGGGGACCAACTGTGCCGACCATTTCTTATTTTCATATGAGTCGGAGTTTACTCAGACACTTGTAAAAAAAAAGAAGATCATAAAAGTCTGAGCATTTAATTTCACATACAGGGATATTTGTGATAGGAAAACAAAGGATATGGGGTACCCATCCATGACACAAAATCGGTGCATGCACAGCAAAAAACACAAAAAGCAAAGGATTTTATTGATTTTCTTTCCATTAACAATCCAAACTTTTCTGATTTGGTCCAATTAATATATCCTCCTGAACTAGAGATGGAAGAAACCACAGATACAGCTTCCTCCGCCTCATTTCTAGACACATATCTCGAATTTGACCACAGTAGTTATCGTAGTACCAGAATTTATGACAAACAAGACAATTTCAATTTTGAAATTAATTTTTTTTCTCACCATAGCAGCAATAAACAAACTTCACCGCGTAGGGAGCATACATTTCTCAATTCATACGACATACAAGAGCTTGCAAATTAGATGGATTTGGCTATACTGTTAGGTCCTTTTGGTTATATAGCTCTTCAACTGTTTCGGTTCTTATACATCCTTGGCTTTCGAATATTCTGCTTGGCATGTTCCTGATGAAGGTAAATCCAGATACGCGCTTCGGAAGCATGACATCTATAACTTGTTGTTTTCATTTTTATTCTTGC